TTTTTGAGATATCTGCGAAAAGCCGCCAGCGGGTTAAATAAACGTATATAATATACAAATTATTATACATGCATATTTTTGAATGATATTTCCCCCGTATTTAAAGTGTTTTATATGCATACATATATGTAATCACTACTTGGGGTATTTTCTACCATCACAACGCGACGTAGCACTAACGCTACGGTCTGGTCATGGAGACGAAATCCGAGTCTGACCTGTCTCGAATGGTTTCGTAGCTGACATAAGCCCCTTATAGAAATGCACCAATTGATTTGAAAGAACATGTCTCTCCACGTTCACTGAACCTGAAAATAAAGGACTTCTTTGTCATCTTATGTAAAAATGACCATTGACATTGTATTTACACAATAAAGGTTGAGCAGAATATCGTGGTAGCGTTCCTGTAATGTTTTGGTGTAACTATGTACGCTGTGAAACTATTAAGATCTACTGACGATAACAAGGCAGCGTTCAATTCGTTCATGCCTATCGGAAGTCAGTTTTGAAACTTTCGGTAGGCTGTCTGAAGTTTTCAGATATTGTCTTAGAGATCTTGACTTGATCGGCGGGGCCGCTGACATGTAGTCATGTTTTCTGATTTGGCCTCAGAGCATTCTTAGGCGTGGGCAAACGATAGGGGTTGTGAATGCGCCTGGACAGTATAAAAGACCTTATCAAAAATATTCAAACAGTGATTTTTGCGCTCGTCATGAGTCAATGTGATAAGATGTTTTACAATAAGGTTTAAGATTGGAGATAAGTATTAGATACAGACATGGTATAAATGCTTCAACACTTTTAAACAGTTGGGAAGATATTTAAAAGCCGGCAAAAAGAAGCCGTGTTTATGTCTGCGGAAAATAGAAACTGCGCTACTTGCAGTGGTAAATGGATCCACTATGTTTGTCAGTTAGCTTCATTTTCTCTTTTATTGGTAAGTTACACCAATCTTCCAGTCCCGCTCCACCTCGGTGGCCGAAGTTAGGGCCCGACCGCGGGGCCAAAACGGGCTATTGGGTGGTTCAACGCCCCTGGCTGTAAGTACCCACCACCTACATATGTTTACGAGCAGTGGGCACTGCGCCCAGCACAGTGGGCACTGGCATTGGGCATTGGGCACCCCAGATCACCGTCGTCCATTTGAGGTCGGCCGGCAGCCTGGGGCCTGTCCTGTTTCAACGCACGACGTTACAGCGCGCTATACGGTATGGTGCGGCGTTTGAGACGACTTCGTCGCAACAAACACGGGCGTGCCAGCGTAGCAAGCGTCCGAGTTTGTTAATGTTACCATGGAAACCCAATGCACCGACACGCGTAGCCACTGAACTCTATAATGCGCGTAGCGCAGCACTATTGCGCCGTGCCGTGGAACAGGGCCCTGGTGATAACAGCTGATGGGTAGGCCGTACCGCAAAACACTGGTGTCCTGCGGTACAGTCTACCTATCAGTCGACTCGCCGACTCCCGGCTGCGGCTAGTCGGCAGCACAAGGGGGGCTTGAACGACACAGGAACGGGAAATAACAGATCTTTCAGAACGTTCGTAATGTTACTGGGGGATCCAGAAAGGACGCTGCTGGGGACATGCCCCCATAAAAGTTTCTCCAAATTAAAAAAAAACGCATCGAATTTCGATTCGTAACGCACTGCTATGCAGTTGAAAACGAATTCCCAATAAAAACTGTCTAGTTTTCGTTTTATTCTCGAAAAACAAACGTCAATCTTCGTTGATTTTGGACACTACGGGGGGGGGGGTCATTTGCCCCAAATGCCCTCTGGATCCGTCAGTGTGTGATGTATGATAAGACAATGATGATGTATGTATACATATATTTTCAATCAGGTTTTGGATTCGATGCATTCCCATGTCTTACTAGAAATGGCCTATAACCGAACTGTTCATGCTTGGTGCGTTCTGCGTTGCTGTTGGAAGTCGGGTAATTTGTATGCAAGTAGCAGTGAATGCTGACGTCGCGTGCCGGTGCTGGTTGACAGAGGGCCTCGGTCGAGGCGGAGCGTCACGGCCCGCTGGCAGCCAGGGCCAGGGCGGTGGAGACCAGCCGAGAGGCGCTTCTGCTCAAAAAGAAAAACCTGGAGCTCGCAACAACTACACGCAAACTGGAACAAAAAGTGCAGGAACTCAAAAAAGTATGTTTTGTTAACTTTTGGTACTTTTGGTTTTGACTTTTTTGGTACGATATCCAGCATTGAATGCAGTCATTTATTATTGTGTCCTTAATCTCATCGTTAATTTTGATATTTTAACCCTACCTTTAATATTTGCTCTTTGATTTTCATGAAAAGGCTAGATCAAATTTACAAAAATTCCGATTTCAATCCTCGAAGTCTTCTGATGGTGAAAACATCATTCTAAAGAAGCTGAGTTAGATATATCTTGTTATTGAAGATCTATTTTATAGCGTCATGACCTAGGATCAGTCCAATGACGCGTTACGTTGTCTATCCCCTCAGGATATGTGCGAGAGAACAAGGCCAGAGGTCACTGGGTCTCAGACGGCGACTCTGCCCCCGCCGTCACTCCGAGCTCGACCCATGTCAGCCGCCGTCGCACCTCCACGAAAATCCCTCCCGCCGTTAGCCGCGGCTGCCGTCAGACCAGGAAAACCAGCCCTCCGGCGCACACGAACCGCAGAACGGACGGGTCAACCGGCCGAGCGGCTGGGGAAGGACGAGTCGCCTCCGCAGCCAACCAGCGCTGGAGAGAAGCTAACAAATGAGGAGAAAAATGAGGAGAAACTATCTGCTACACAACTGGTGTGCGCACAAACCAGCGCACAGTCCCACCAGTCCGACCGCGCCGCTGTCACGGAGAGCCGGTCTCAGCTGTCACCGAGCGACTGTGAGCCACGGAAAGGGCGACGGTTGGAGCCTCCGGAGGTGTCAGGGAGTCGACTGAGCCCTACCGACACCGAGCGACAGGTAAGGAAGCATCTTACGTGGAACATCTTTTTGAACATTTATTTTAGCTTGAAAAATATTTAACTGAAGTTCAGACTACATACGCCATGATTTATATTATCAAGCATATTAATGATTTATATTATCATATATTAAGAAGTGTCCCAAAGATTGTCTATTGGGCAGCCACCCTGTTGGGAGTCATGATCCGAGCGCTAACTGTTAAGTCCCATCTGCCTTGCCCCTGTCCCGTCTGTCCTGTCACCGTGCTTCCCTCGCTCTATCACTGTGTCCCGCCTGTCCTGCTGCTCTGTCCGGCCTGCCCCGCTGCTGCTGTGGCGGCATTCTGTCCCCGTCGACCGGACCTGTCTCGTGCCCCAACTTCGGAGGCCGGTGTCCGCGGCGGCGGCCCCGTCGACCGGGATCATGGGATATTGACCGCACCACAGACTGCGACCCGAGGTTCCGACGCTGCAGGCATCCGGACGTGGAGCGGGACAGAGAGAGAGAGAGAGAGAGAGAGAGAGAGAGAGAGAGAGAGAGAGAGAGAGAGAGAGAGAGAGAGAGAGAGAGAGAGAGAGAGAGAGAGAGAGAGAGAAGGAGGGAGGGATAGAGAGAGAGAGGGAGAAAGAAAGAGAGAAAGAGACACACAGACATACAGATAGAGAGAGAGGGAGAAAGAAAGAGAGAAAGAGACACACAGACATACAGACAGACAGACAGAGGGAGAGAAGGGAGGGCAGGGAGAGAAAATATGTGAGACAAGAGGTAGAGGAAAATGAAAGTGAAAATGAAAAGAAGAAAAGAAATGAAGGGAGAAACACAAAAACACAGGACAATAAAGGAGGGTATTAGAGGAGCGGCGGTAGGGAGCGAGCGATAGGGCAGAGGGCCGGGGAGGAGTGATGGCGCGGCTAACTATGTGTCTGTCTGATTGGCCGGGACGGTGCTGGTCGGCGGAGCGGCGCCCGTCCGGACCGGCGGCCACCGATACCCGCCGCGCCGGTCCGACAAGTGTGTGAGGGTAAACACAGCGGGCCGCCGGGGCCGGGCGATCAGACACCCACCGGCGGCCGGTTACAGGTGTGTCCGACACAGAGGAGAGAGGGAAGGAGGGAAGGAGAGAGAGATTCGGTGCCAGGTGAACGAGCAAGGCGTATAAATTTCAGCAGCATCTCAGAAATAATCCGAAAATGCCATCTACCTGTGGAGTGCAGATGACTTTTGATTTTGAATGACGCACCGGAGGTATTCTTGCAGTTTGTCGATGACGTCTTTCCTTTTTCATTTCTTTGGCATCATTTCCTCGGCGGGCGGACATCGTTTCACAATGCACGTTTTCAAAGGCTTCGTTCATTCAGCGGCGCTCCTCGGCGCTAAGTCGGGCTTCCACTGCGGTCGGCCATTGTCCCCGGTCCGATCCGATCCGCCAACTGGGCCGGCGGCCGACCGGCGGTCCCAGCCGCTCGCTGACGACCTTCGATGTGCAGTCTGTCCGCGGGCGACTGAACTCCGCCCGACGGCCGGCAGTTGGCTCAGCGATGGCTTTGTAGTGACCTACCGTCAGAATGGCAGGCATGACACGGCCCTAAGGTATGTCTAATTACGTAACCATTGTCGACTTCGTGAGTGCTTCACTGCACGCTTCTCGGAAGGACAAGACGTGCATATATTCCGTCCATTGAATTGAAACAACATGCAAAGCTACCTAACGTTTCGGCAGGTGTAGCGTACCTATACGCAGGCCTCGACCCGCCGCCGTAAGTCCGCCTCTCCCACTCTCTCGCTCCCTCTCTGCCCGTCCGTCCGCTGCCCATGCCCCGCGGCTCGCGCCCGTCCGTCAGCCGTCGGTATACGGCCACGGCGGTGACTGGCGCGCCTGATTGGTGGCGGCGCCAATTGCTCCGGTTTCGCGTCGTCTGGCCGGCGGGCCGTCTGAGCCTAGCCGGGCCGCCGCCGCCGCCGCCGCCGCCGCCGCACGCGCCCGGCCCCCTATCGATTTTCGCCGGCGTCGCCCGGGCCTGGCGGCAGTAGGCGGCGGCGGCGGCGGCGGAGGCGCTGGTCGGCCGCTGACTCAGGCCGCCCAGCTGAGGCGACAGGACGCGCCGACCGCCGTCCCAGGCCCGACCGACCAGTGCCGCGCGACCTCACCAATCCGCGACACGTGCTGACGTGCGGGTGACGTGTGGGTGGTGTTTGTGACGCGCTGGTGACGTTTGTGGAGCGGTGATGACGTTTGTGGCGCTGGTGACGCTGGTAAAGTGGTGAAGGACGCGGATGAAGGTCGGACTGTGTGTTCGTGGAACTGCAGGGACAGAATGATAAGGTGAGGCGATGCTTCGCTGCTGGCACATTCCGTGGTTTGCGGACGAGGTCCGACGAGAAAAACGCGAGGAAAGCTGTTGTTGAAATGAATTCGATACAACAAACTATGTTGTGCAAAGCGAAATTTCAAGTTACTAACACTCCTTATGCTACACAAGTGAGCACTGAATTCATCTTCCATAGAGACAACCATATTCGGCAATAAAAACAGCATAGAGCGACATGTATTTGTAAGAAGTCGCCTAATTTTTAAGAGGTCCTGTGCTGCGTAAATGTCGCTAGGGTTTCCTTTAGTGTCCGTTTAATGGTATTACATGCCATTATCTTCCATTAGCTAATCAGCTTATGCCCACCAAATGCTGATCGATTAGAAGCTAATGCTATAAATACTACTACTTCACATCATTTAGCATTAGTTTGTCAGCTTTGACCAAACTCTGACCACCAAAATATGATTTCCTCTCCCGCACGTTTTTTTCGATCGTTTCCCGATCGTTTTCCCGAGTCACTCAGGGTGTCGATTGTCGAGCAACTTTGGGAAATTGTTTTGCATTAAGACATTCATTTGGGGCAAATCTTTTGATGCTTTTCGCCGTCTGTGCTATAAAAGCGATTTAATCATGTGGACCTACATGGTTCACATTGTATGCGTGCTTAAAACTATTCGTTCCAATAACGCCGAACCGGGCCACACAGCATCCAACAGCAACACTAATATAGCTGAAGGAAGGGCTCCTCATGGGTGGATCATCAGCTTGAAAGCAAATGTGAATCAGGCTCCTTGTTCTCCACCCCCAGACTTCAGCCCATATCATTTCTTCAGACAAGAACTTGCGTAAGAACACGTAAGGGGACCGCGTCTATTATTGGCTGCCCATTGGGGCTGAATGGATGTGGGTAATCGTCCAAGTTAATGGTCATCCGCTCATTTGTTTCCATGCACTTTATGGGCGCAGTGGGCTAAATATTGGGTCTTCAAAGGGGCATGGTCCGCATGCTCCTTTAAAAGACACCAATGGTGTACGCGCGCATAAACCATGCAGCACTGAAAAATCCAGCTCAGGTTTGGCAGATTTCACAAATAATGACAGAGCACCTAGGGACCGTGCATTACCCAATACCTATGCTGATGTGGCGCAGATGTTGTCATTTCGAGCACCTCCTACAAGGAGAGTCGACTGTAGACGTGAACTATTTCTGGTGCGGCCACTTTTGCCATGTCACGAGGAGTTGATTGGTGTGTATTTCAAGTCCGTCAGATGGCTGTAGCTCAGATGTTATTTGCGTTTAGCTGAGTAAACTTTGCGTTGGGATGCGTGGCATGTTCTCATGTTAGATTTCGCTTATGAAGCACCGAAAAAAAACATTTGATATTCGGATTTGATGATGATAGATTTGATAGTCGGATTTGATAGACGTTGCTTTGCACCCCAAATCAACGTTCTATGTTGATTTGATTCCCAAATAAACAAACATACCATTAGACGCGCCTGAGCATTAGAAACAGAATAGTGTAAAAGTCATAGTTCTGCAGCCATGCTGGGCGAAGCTATAAAAACGGACACTCCGACTCCAATCAACTCATTTGTGTTAGCTTAACAGAGCAGACAAAGAAGGTGCACAAAACAAATAGGATTGATGCAAAAGCATGAAGCTTCAAGGTATACCACTCCAGTCTCCACAATAAACAATAACTGACAAAACATGACACCACCAAACCAGCATAAGCACAAATTAAATGAAAGACGAACGTGAACGAGGGTACATACCAGTATGAGATTACTCACCCGCTGAGTGGCCCCCCGCCCCCGCCGCCCGCCGCAGTGCCATTGCCCTGACCGGGAAGACCTGACCTTAGAGGTCACCGATTGACCTGATACCTAAAAGTTAGATACCAGTTGCTGTGTCTTGTAGCGACACACAGGCTGGTTTATTCTGCGAAACATTAGCTCAATTATGGACAAAACGGCGTGAGGAGGGGCCCTCCCGCCCCTTCCTCTCGATCGGAGCCTGTTTAGAAAAGTGATGGCTCCGGCGAGGGTTAAACTGCTTGAATGCGGTGGCGCCTCGTGCATTTCTTTCATTCGGATTCTGTCCACCCCTGAAATTCTCGATCGTATGAAAGAACAAAACTCTTGCAACTGATGCGTGAAAAGCGACTGTCAGCACTTCTCACTAAACCGTGCTTGTGAATGGCTGACGTCTCGTGAACGCTTAACCCTCGCCGGACCTATTGGTTTTCTACATACGCGCCGGCCGAGGGGGGAGATGCGGGTACGACCCCTCCCTCGCCGTTTCGCCCCTGGCAGAGCTAGCGCGTCGCGGAAAAAACGAGCGTGTGCGCCGTTACGAGACGCAGAGATTGGTATCCGAGTTAAAGGTCCTAAGTTAACCGGTGACCTCTGAGATCAGGTCAAGTGCCCCAAGGTGCGGTTCAGTTTTTGGTGAATAACTTCGCAAAAAACGGCCGCAGAGCCGCGATTTTAGCAGAATCGTGTTCGCCTCACTCAGGCGCGTCAAATGTTATACTTTTTGTTTGGGTCAGGTCAACTTACGGCGTTGACCTCAGGTCACGGTCAGGTCAGCGCCCCCAGGTCACGAACTTGGTCGAAAGAGGTCATGTCGCATATCATTCGATTCGCGACTGATATTCCACCTGAGTCCATTGGTGGCTTTTCCGACTCGCTAGCTCAATTTGATCGGGAGTTATTGACGAAAAACTAATATGACCTTGATGACGTCACAAATGACGTCACACAAGGTCAACATTGCAAAAGTGACGCATCTTACCTTGCAAGGAGTGCATCAAATCACGATTCTGTGTGCTTGAGATAGTTGGAGATCGTTCCCGGCGCCAGAATAGCAGTTTTCATTTTTCCCCATTGACTTATAATGGTGAGATCACGAAAATGACCTGACCACGGATATATGCACGCGCACCGACGGGGGGCGGATATCCGCCCCCCTGAGGTTTTTCGCGGACAGCGGGAAAACCGCGGCGCTACGGGCCGCAAAATTTGGTACGACTATTCTCTCATCAATTTTACACATGGTGTGCAAGTTTGAACCTCCTAACTTTTAAGGTCAGGTCACCAGGTCACTTTGAATAACCCAACCTCAAGTCACTTTTTTGCAACTTTGTCACCGTGCCAGAGCTACAGTAGATGTCGGAGGCCTTTGAAAGTCGCAGGATGTTATTAGGTCATTAGTAGCTACAATTTGTTTATCTCGGAATTTTGATGTCGGTGACCTAAGGTCAGGTCAATTTCGCGACCTCCCCATTATAAGTCAATGGGGGAAAAATCAACTCCCTGTTTTTACCACTAAAACGGGTCAGAATTGCCCCATATACCATACATGACTTCATATACGATCAACCTTTACTACCTTGAGGTCTGTTTTGCTGTTGGGCAGCTGTATGTAAGGTCATGTGACGTCATCAAAGGTCACCAGAGTTTTTTTGCCAATAACTCCGTACAAGAACAAGATACAGCCGCACGGATGGTCTCATTGTGTTCAGCTCGTCAAGACGCATCGAATGATATACATGATGACCTCGAGGTCACGTGACCTGAGGTCAACCTTTGACCTTGACCTTTCGAGGTCAACATATATATCATTCGATGCGGATTAACGAGAGGATCACGATGATGCCCTTAGTTTGTTCCTATCCTGACTAATTCGAAAGTTATCCGAGAAAAGCTCTCTCCATATCTAGCGCCGCCATTTTGGCTTTTTCGACCCCTGTGACGTCATCTTTGACCTGACCTGAAAATGACCTTAGTAAAAATTGTAGACCTTGTCCGTGCGTATCCGATGCCGTTTACCGCTTGTCGCTATCTTACTTCGTTCTCGAGATCTCAGGGGGCCCCTCCGTCGGTACGAAGTTGGCGCAGACCCCCGTCGGTGCGCGGGTTAGGAAAAATCCGAGATACCGTAAACGGGGGTGACTTTGCCATGTTTTCAACTTTAGACGCTTGTATTCTTTACACTTCTTAACTTGTTGGGATGACTCTATGCTCAAAACACGGATGAAGATTAGCTCTTTTGGTTTTGCTGTTATCGTATTTATATCTTGCCTAAAATATGATTTTTTAAATAAAATGAGTCGTGGCAAAGTTAAACTGAAAAAGGGGTGACTTTGCCACTATGTCAAAAAAATGGTTTTTTAACGCTTGCAAATAATTTTAAAGTATTTTTGTTCCATTGTATGGGAGAGGCCAACCATCTTTAATTGTTTAGTAGGAAAAAATAAAGCAATTCAAAGTTTTTTTGCTCTTAAATGATGTACCAAAAAGGAGAGATACATTACTTTTATAATAGGTACATTATATTTGTTGAAAATTATTGACATTGATAGTAAATAGAAACTGAAAAATGGTTTAGAATAGACATATAGAGTACCGATACAATCATATTTTTGCTCTGGCGCGGTCATATAGGACCGCGCCGTAATCCTCCAGCGGCATTGAGAGGAACAGAAAGAAGACGTTCTTGCGGCAAATTACCGGCACCCTTATTATCAGCGTTTTGATCTATAAAATGATACCGATTTCTTCAGCTAGTCGTACTGGCAAACTCAGGAGTTGTAGATGATCATGACTGTGCTGAAAAGTTGGGCCCAGCTTCATCCATTTTTTAGTTTGGTAATTTTTGCCTTTCTATACTCCCACTGTGCATTCCTGTGCTAATTTTAAACGTATAAACTCTCACTTTATTAAAAACCAGTTTGGAGGTGAAAATGATGCTACATTAAAAATTATTTTGAATTGCATTGTATAAGTATTCAATTTTTGCATAAATAACATGGTGGCAAAGTCACCCCATGTGGCCTGCTATTCACTTGGAAAAATCGCCACGAAATTTTTTTAGCTAAATGAAGTAACAAATGCCAGTTTTGTTGGATGCCATGATCGGTCCTCGTCAGCTCGCTGCCTCTCAGTTGGTGCCAAATTCGCCACCACAGCCGGACTCAGACAGCCAGCCAGAACCAGCCAGCCCAACGGCCATACATAGACACAGTTGGAGTCTTGATTTTCCTGAGCACGAAAACCAAGAGTGTCTTGGTTTTCCTGCTGCATCGGTCTACCGGCTACAGAGTATCGAATGAACTGGCCAAGTTTGTCTTATTCCAATGTGGAAGTTCGGCTAATATCGTGATCAAAAGTCCATGTGCAGTGGTCTACGTTAAAGGTCACAGGTGGTAAGTTTTAGTTGGTTATTGCTAATCGGGAACTGACTATCCGTAAGTGAATAAGTAAAAATGTAATTGTGCTTGTCAGTTGTCTATTTGTTATGTCAGAGCTACGTCAGTCTAAAACAAGTATTTTTGATGTTTGTTATACATCTCCAGGCTGGCGCTAGTGCATTAGCTATGCTCTATAATCTAGCGTCCATGCAATAGTGTGGACACGAACGACACCATTTATTGTTCTACCCCAAACCCCACTCTTATCTTTCTCTATTCAGAAGTATCGTTTGAAAACATATAGTTAAACTTATGTAACGAAAGCTCGTAAGCTCTGGTAATTATGTGCTTATTAGGTAGGACTTGATAAGACACAAGCTGGAATGCTTCAACATTGCCGAAATGTTATGAAAGCATTTAGTGGAGTTATCGCTCTAATTGGTCACTATCTGTTATGAACTGTTTTATTACTAGCGTAGCTCGGAAACCTGTGGGACTCGTTCGTACATATTTTGTCGAATGTTTTAATGCCGGCTGTTCTACACTCGTGATTTGGCCAGCAATAAGTTGCACAGTGCAGTCTTGACGACAGCCCAGCCGCTAAGACATTACATCAAAGACGATATCAGCCAACAATAGCAGCAGACGACCGACAGGTATAGACCGCTCCGTTTACTGCTTTATCACAGAGACTGTGTACGATCTGAGGCCCGGTGGGTGGTGCTGAGAACGCTGAAGCTGTGCAGACGGAGCGCGGCGGGCGGTGCACAGTGGGCGGTGGACGGTAGGCGGTGAGCGGTGAGCGGTGGTCGGTAGACGGAGGGCGGTAGACGCGGTGGGCGGTGAAGTTGTGGGCGGTGGGCGGTGAAGCTGTGGACGGTGGGCGGTAGACGCGGTGTGCGGTAGATGCGGTGGGCGGTAGACGGTAGGTGGAGGGTGGTAGACGCAGTGGGCGGTAGACGCGGTGGGCGTTAGGCGGCGGGCGGTAGACGGTAGGCGGTAGACGGTGGGCGGTAGACGGTAGGCGGTGGACGGTAGACGCGGTGGGCGGTGAAGTTGTTAGCGGTGGGCGGTGGGCGGCGGACAGTAGGCGGTAGGCGGTAGACGCGGTGGGCGGTGAGCGGTAGGGGGAGGGCGGTGGACGGTAGACGCGGTGGGCGGTGAAGTTGTGAACGATGGGCGGTGGGCGGTAGGCGGGTGGTGGGCGGTAGACGGGCGGTGGGTGGTAGACGCGGTGGGCGGTTGGGCGGTGGGCGGTGGACGGAGGGCGGTTGGCGGTAGGTGGTAGACGGGCGGTGGTCGGTAGGCGGAGGGCGGTAGACGCGGTGGGCGGTGAAGATGTGGGCGGTGGGCGGTGGGCGGTGGGCGGTAGACGGTAGACGGCAGGCGGTAGACGGAGGGCGGTAGACGCGGTGAGCGGTGGTCGGTAGGCGGAGGGCGGTAGATGCGGTGGGCGGTGAAGTTGTGAACGGTGGGCGGTTGACAGTGGACAGTGGGCGGTGGGCGGTGGACGGTAGACGGTAGGCGGAGGGCGGTAGACGCGGTGGGCGGTGAAGATGTGGGCGGTGGGCGGTGGGCGGTGGACAGTAAAGTCGCGGACGGTGAGCGGTGGGCGGTGAAGCTGGGGAACTTACACCGGTGTGGGAGGCCGGAGGCGTGGCCGGGAGAGCGCCGTCTCCCGATATCGCCCCAGGCTGGTCACGTCTCAGAGGTCCAATCTGACCAAGTGCCGTAGTTACGCGGCGCCGAACCTCGGCGGACCTAACGGATGGGATCGGAGCGCTGCCGGCGGCGGCTGGCGGCTGGCGCAGAGCCGGGGCTGGCCTGCGGTCCGCGCGCCGGTCTGGGCGGAGGGCAGAGGACAGAGACTGCCACCCCTGGACCAGGCAGAGGACAGAGACACCCCCCCCCCCCCACCGCGCCGGTCTGGGCGGAGGGCAGAGGACAGAGACTGCCACCCCTGGACCAGGCAGAGGACAGAGACACCCCTCCCCCCGCGGGTCGGGCGCGATGGCGTGGAGCTGCAGCTCGCGCGGGAGGCTTGTGCCAGTGACAGTCAAACCATCGCTCGGTGTCGACTGTCGTTGCGTAAGGGCCCGGTTAGTGGTTAATATACGCTACCAAATAATTCCGATACGGTAACAATAGCCCAATGGCGGTATATGGCAGTCGAATGTCTAACAGGCTGCTCGTTTACCTACTAGAATTGACCATTTGAGCCCTACCAATGAATTTCGGGAAGGCTGTGTATATAGAAACAGAGACACCCAGCCTGCGGCGAGGCACACCGATATGAGGTGCAGCCAGTCTGCACGGTTTAGTTGCCGTTAAAGCTGACCAAAGAGCCTGTAACCTCCTGCAGTGGTCCTCCCCGGTACCCTGTGACCTTTGTGGAATTTGTCGCTCTGTTAGCGCCAAACATTCAAATGTGTCTTATGATTTGTCATGGACGATTTAAGTCGAACTCGATCAAAACGCCGCCAAACCGGGCTTCCGCTCTATTGTTTGAAGCTGCTGGCAAGCAAGCAAATCAATAGATAACCACAGTTTGAATGATGACTGAATTAAAGCGTTCGATCTTGAAGTCATACAGGAGCAATAATTATGTGTAAAAGTCTCGACAAAAAGTTGGGCCTACACGTCATATGCCTATGCATGTGGGCAATGAGTAAGTATAGTACCCACTAGCCAAGTGGTGCCTACGTACCGGGTTGCAGAAATATTGATAATCATCGCATCCTTTTGCAGGAGAAAGGATGCCGCTCAGAACCTGGGAAGGTTGAGAAGACATCTCACGACGCGAGGTCCCGACGTGTTCTGTCCGAATTAGCTCAGGTGAGATCAATGGCTCTATAGGGTGAGATTATCTAGACTAATTCTGATGATGCGTTTTGCGTTTGCGTAGGCTTCGCCTGTTTGTTGTCGTAGTTGTCCAGAACTGTACATTGTTCAATACATACACTTACAAGTGATTTTATCCGTTTTAGCAAAGTTCGAATTTAAGTTGGAAAAGTTAGTGCAAAAGTTCTTCTGTCAAGCTAATTACACAGAGCAGAAATTCTACTCGCTACCGCCTCGGAATATTACAACGGACGGATGCCTTGCCAGTATCAGGCATTCCAATGCCGAAGCTGTACATTTATTTGCAGTGTAGGCATAGGCAAGCGCATAAAGTCGACCCTCACCTGGCAAATACTTTTATCGTTGGATGTTTTTCAATGGGAACGTGCATCTTGATTTCTTACTTCAGGTAAGAAATCAGAAATCTTACCCACGCCACGTTGAGGTCTGGCAGGTTCCGGGTCCTGTTTGGGAGGGAGGGGGAGGGGGGTAGCAAAGGGCGCCCCGTCCGTGGATCCGTACCGAGACCCGTGAAGTCACGAAATAGGTCAGTCTCGACCAATCAGAAAACACTTCCGTGAATCGTATGGAACGGCATGCTGAATTGTAAATTTATGAAGGCATGTTATACATATGCAGGCACAAAAACTCATTGACCTTTTTTAACCTATGACGGCATAGGAAGGTCAAAAAAGCTCAATTTGTACCGGTTTACAATGACAAACATTATATTACGTAAAAGTGACTTTTACCACGTAAAAGTTTACCATGTTAAGCTTTAGTCAGGAAAAGATGATATTTATGAATAATAGTTATGATAAGGATCATAAATATTATCCTAGACTGATTTTGAGGAAAAATACAGAAAATGATGTGTCGTCATACAAACAGTCGCTATTATTTTTAGTCATTCAGATGGTTGTATCTCTGGGAGTTTGGGTGATATTTTGTTGATTTTTAACATGTGTAAGTGCAGTAAGGTGTTCTCTGACAAACAGGTGTTCTCTGTATATTCCGTTTTTTTTTTTGAAAACTTTTCCGAATAAAAAGTATCTCAAGAAATCAAAATTTTGTGTTAGAAAATCTCATGAACTTGAGATTTTATATCTTTCGAAATTTTGAGTTGGCGATTTTGTTTGCTATGCTGAATGCTCTTCCGTATCTCCGGTTTAACTTTTTAGTCTTTAGGCGGATTTTCTAATTTTCTAAAAAAATATCCGTGAACAACTTTTTTCGACCAAAAATGGTTGAACATGACCTCAGTTTGACCTCTATAACTCGTGACCTCAGATGACCTAAGACAATATTTTTCAGGTGATATATGAAATTGATGCCTGGAGAGGTACTGAAAATTTCTAGTCGAAATTCGTAGCGGTTTTTGAGTTATCGGCGAAAAGTCACAAGGGGACCCTTTAGCCTCCCGACGGGTCGCGGGTTAATTGATTGACCTAAACTAGCCCATATGCCTATGATAAAAGCCGTACCGTAGGACCTCGAAACAATGTTGAATTTCTCCGCGAATAAAAGTTTGTTACGGAGGTAATGCTGCGCTACCCAGGCCCGTGTACGTGTGTGACGATTAGATAATGTTGAGGCCAGTCTATGCCTAAAAGAACAACTCGCGTCTTTATTATTTCAGCCGAGCGTTCTGCGCGCTCCCCCACGGGAGACAGAAGACGACAGCTGTGATCGTGGGCATGGACCTACCGCAATGGAGGTAGAAGCGGTTCGCGGAAAGAACGCCTCCCTCGAGTCCGTCCTGAGGGTAATCACCGGCGTCACTCCGTTTTTAGTCGCGTCCATGCTATAAAAAGCTGGCGTCCTCGGGACAGTGCTCCACCTTAACCCGCGCCCCGTAGGGCTACCGGCGGACCCTACCACCCGTAGGGGGGGCCGTTTCGGCCCCCCCCCCCTAAGATCTCGGAAAGTTACCGGCCGATTTTCAAAATTCAAACGGCGTTCGATAGCCCCACCTGGGAACTACCTTGTGACCAAATTTCATTGACCTAGGTCAAACCGATGACGTCACAGGTCAGGTCAAAGGTCAGATTTTCACCGTTCACAGGCAATTCAAGAAATGTGCTGTGAAAGCGAGTAAATTGGTAATTTATTGAAAACCATCGATGGTACATTGTTCGTCAAACACATACTTTGCTATCTGAGGTCACTGATACCAGGTCAGGTCACAGCGAGGTCAGGTCACCGGGGGTCACAATATGAATGTGTCGTGTGATACATGTTTTATGGTCCATTTTACATGACAAATGCGATTATGTGGGTTAGGCAGCCTTTGGGGCCAGCCTAGGTCACGTTTTGGTGAAGGTCAGGTCAAGGTCAGGTCAAATTAGGTCAAATTTCAAAGTTGATATTTTTGCATATAATGGGTATCGATTCGATGCAGCTCGTCACGGGGAGTCTAATGGTGGTCTTCGTTTTGCTCTACGAGTTCTAGAATTGCCAAAAATTGAGTTTGAAAATTTGACGTCATCATTTTTGAACAGTTTTTTTCGCTATAACTTGGCCAAAAAACGAGGTATCGATCTGAAATTTGGTATGTAGATAGAAGACGGTAGGCACTATCACATATATTCCGGTTTTTTCGAAACTCAAAAAACTTTTTGGGTTTTTTGGCGAATATATCCAAAAAAATGCTTTTTTGATTTTTGGGGGTCAAAACTCAAAAATTTCAAAAATTCGAGATAGCAGTTTTGTAGCCCTGTGAATTTTACACCTTTTATGTCTTGATCATTTTTCTGTATCTTCAAAGCTGTAGTCCTGACAGGTCTACTCGCGAAGGTCTTTTTTCGGTCGAAAATGACAGAACATGACGTCACTCTGACGTCATTTGTGGCCAACCTATCATAGCCTCTGGAAAAATTTTTGGTCACAATGTGTAAAATTGATGCCCGGAGGGGTCCTGAAAGTTTGGTGGCGATATCTCCAGCCGTTTAGGAGATATCGACCGAAAAGGACAGGGGGGGGGGCCGTTTCGGCCCCCCTACGGGGCGCGGGTTAAGAGGACAACAAACCACGTCTGGCACCTCCCCATCTACAAAATGAACACCAAAAGACCACGCATTAAGTCAGCGCGAGCATTGACCTCATCTGTTTGGTCAAAAACGGCGAGCTCCGATCAGGGACTTTGAGTGGTCAGGAAATCGATCATCTTATCCGAGCATAGGTAGATATTTGTGTCAGCGTTTTAAGTAGCTCTAACGCAGCCAGAAACGGGCATCTAACCTGTCGAGCATTTAATGTTTTCTTAATTAACCACTGGTTGGTATTTTTTCTTGACAGTTTTAAACTGATCGGTGGTCTGTCACGTTGCTTGTGATGGTTAGTTGTCCTATTGACGCATCTTGATGCTAGTAAACATTACGCATACTATACCTACATACAGCACACTCTGTAACATTTTTAGTTAGCTATGTATATTAACCCGCGCCCCAGTGGCGGTCTCAGCCAACTTCGCCCTAGTGGGGGGGGGGGGGGGCATATGTTACCACCCACCTCTAACTCAAAAACTAAGAGGGCTAGAAAGACGCGGTAAAAAGCAGTCGATAGCTCTCAATGCGTACGTTTGAAAGTACTTCGGTCATTTTCACCTTTGAGCAATATTGGGGTCACCAGAGGTCATCAAAGGTTAAAATTTGCCAATTGTCATTATATTTTTCAGAAAACATGCCGCTATCTCAGGAACTATGGTAGCTAGAAAAACGCATGTAAGAGACATCGATAGTTTTTGAACTCTTCTTTTGAAAAGGTCATTATCAATATTGACCTCAGGTCAACGGTTTAGCCTCCAGAGGGCAAAAACTCCAAAAATAGCTGTTTTTACGAAAAGTTTTTCGACAATAACTTTCGACTACAAAAAGCCACGACATTTCTATTGCCAGAATCGTGTTCCCCTCGCCGAGACGCGTCGAATGAACTATAATTTGACCTTGAAAGGTCAACTTGAAAATTTGACCTCAGGTCAAGGTCATAACCTGACCGAAAAAGGTCATGTTGCATATCAGTCGATGCGTCTCAACAAGAAAAACACAATGAGACCATCCCCAGCGTTCTATCTCTTTCCAATCGCGAGTTATTGGCAAAAAACTGTTTGTAGCCTCAAATGACCTCGGATGACCTTTCTAGAGGCTATCAGCAAAAATGACACCTTAGTCATCACGAGTGGACTAAATCATTGTGATTCTGAAATATTTGGACTGTTCCTATGCGTTCACACGGATCTAGAGGCATTTTCATTTTTCTCCATTGACTTGTAATGGAAAGGTGACGCCACTGACCTGACCTTAGGTCACGGATATAAAAAATCCGAGATATACAAATTGTAGGCGCCCATAATAGCATGCAATCCACCAAGTTTAAAACCTTTCTGACAAACACTGCAGGCTGGACATGATTGCAAACTTTTTTAGGCTTGGTCAGTAAACTTGACCTGGTGACCTGACCTGACATGACCTGGGGTCAAAAATTTCACACATTGTCCAAAATTGATGTACCAAAAGCTACCCCAAGCGGCGCGGCGCTACGCGCCGCGGTTTTTTATTCACACGCAAAAAAACGCGACAGGGTGGTAACATATGCCCCCCCCCCCACTGGGGCGAAGGTTAATAAATCGAAAGATGTAGCTTGTTGTATCTGGTTTTAGCGTAAATGTACGAAACTTTGTAGCTTTATACAATGTAGGTATAGGTACCTAAATCATGCGTGGTGCTTTATTACCCGCTTCTGGAATGCAGAATGCTTGTTAACACTTAACCCCCATGGGCCCAAGGGACGTTTTTTGGCCCGTGACGTATATTTGCGATGGCTTTCAAACGCTTAGCGATAGAAGTGCGAAACTTTCAGCATGCCCTTCCTCCTCCATCAATTTGATATCTTTTGAAACAAGAAAATTTAACCGGGTGACCCAATGACGTCACAGGGTCGATTTCCCGGACCATTGCAAGGCAAATTTTGACGGCACCAAACAACTTCCATGGTTTTAGAGATGAAGACAAGTTACGAATATGGCTGGGTGGCATTTGAACTGAAAAAAACGAAAATAATTTTGGTGACCTATGGCGAGGTCACCATGTCAGGTGAAGGTGACAAATTCAAATACTGGCACCGGCTGGGCTTTTGATCCCAAAATCACATCCAAAACATGTCGGACGTAGCTGCAAGACAGTGGTCGATATAGAAATTTCAGGTCGGTTTGAGGTCAGATCAGGTCAGGAGAGCCGGAAAGGCATCAATGTGCCTAAATTTGCGAGTAACGCTGACTAAGTGAAAACATAGTGAATTGCAACAAAACGTATTGCAAAGCTACACGATCCATAAATTAGAACCTAAAAATACCTAAGCTAGAAAATGTTTCGCAACATCCTGAAATTCTACAGGTAGGTATACTAAATACGAAAAAGAGCGAAGTTTTAAGTCAGCTTACAACATGTCTTTGACCTTTAAGTTTAGCCCGCGCACCGACGGGGGGGGGGTGGATATCCGCCCCCCCCTGAGGTTTTTCGCAAATAGCGGGAAAACCGCGGCGCGAAATTTGGTACGACTATTCCCTCATTAATTTTACACATGGTGTGCAAGTTTGAACCTCCTACCTTTTAAGGTCAGGTCACCAGGTCACTTTGAATGACCCAAGCTCAAGTCACTTTTTTGCAACTTTGTCACCGTGCCAGAGCTACAGTAGATGTCGGAGGCCTTTGAAAGTCGCAGGATGTTATTAGGTCATTAGTAGCTACAATTTTTATATCTCGGAATTTTGATATCGGTGACCTAAGGTCAGGTCAATTTCGCGACCTCCCCATTATAAGTCAATGGGGGAAAAATCAACTCCCTGTTTTTACCACTAAAACGGGTCGGAATGGCCCCATATACCATACATGACTTCATATACGATCAACCTTCACTACCTTGAGGTCTGTTTTGCTGTTGGGCAGCTGTGAGGTCATGTGACGTCATCAAAGGTCACCAAAGGTTTTTGGCCAAAACTCCGTACAGGAACAAGATACAGCCGCGTGGATGGTCTCATTGTGTTCAGCTCGTCAAGACGCATCGAATGATATACATGATGACCTCGAGGTCACGTGACCTGAGGTCAACCTTTGACCTTGACCTTTCGAGGTCAACATATATATCATTCGATGCGGATTGACAAGAGGATCACGATGATGCCCTTAGTTTGTTCCTATCTTGACTAATTCGAAAGTTATTCGAGAAAAACTCTCTCCATATCTAGCGCCGCCATTTTGAATTTTTCGACCCCTGTGACGTCATCTTTGACCTGACCTGAAAATGACCTCAGTAAAAATTGTAGATCTTGACCGTGCGTATCCGATGCCGTTTACCGCTTGTCGCTATCTTGCTTCGTTCTCGAGATCTCAGGGGGGGAAGTTGGCGCAGACCCCCGTCGGTGCGCGGGTTAAACACATCATCAACCTTCAAAGAAAATATTTTCAGTCAGTCTTCCCGCCTTTGTGCATGCATCCATGCTCTGGAACACAAAGCTTGAGATCACTGCACATGTGCTTCTTTTGCTTTGGATATCTCTCCTTGTAAATTGGCGACAGGTCCAAGGTTTTAGATTCTTTAGAATTGTCTTGTTGAAATATATTGTTTTATACCGTTTTTGTTTCCGCAGCCTCTTTATGAGGTTAGACAGGGGATGAAAATCATCCCCTGCCGGATTCACTTTGCCGGGATTGCCCTCCGCGGCCGGCCGGGTTAGTGGCCCATCCGCCATGATATCCCTTTCACCTTCCGTTGATGTTCTTTCCAATGTTGCAGCAAATGCGCGATGTGGCGGAGCGGAAAAAGGAGCTGGAGCGTCAGCAGCGGGAGGTGCAGGACCGGCTGAAGGACAGGGAGGCGGCCCTGCTGCAGTCCTCGGCTGGCGACCGACAGGCCAGCGCAGACGCCGTCCAGGCGCTAAAGAGCACGGTACGAACTGGGATCGTATATTGGGTCAGAAGCGCACGGTACGAACTGGGATCGCAGGCGCACGCAGAAATTGAAGGAGACTCGCTGCACCTGTGATAGAATTAAGGGATTTTTTATGTAAGCGAGCTGGTACAACCAAGGAAGCATGCTCGCTCCCGGGAGGTAGTGACACATATTTCCTGTATAACACATAGGAAAGTATATTATCTCCCGATGTTAAATTAAACATACGAGAGTGCAATCTACCCCAGAGACCGTCCTGAGGACCACGAGTAGAGCCGCCGTCTGTGCTGAGACCGCCGGGTGACGGCGGCGCCCGGAGGGCGGGTCGATGGGTCAGGCGGCGGGCGTAACACCCAGATTACACGGCACAGCCCGCCGGCCAGCGAGCACCAGTCTTGCATGCTAAACTGGAGCTCAGCGCAGCTTTATGAAACAGGAAGTGTCACGAATCACTACCGCCGGAAGACTATATGGCACGTCACGCCGCTCAGGGTTTTCCGTTTGTGTTCTAGCTCCGGGAACTGGAGAAGAAGGCAGAAGTGCAGTCGCTGCGCCATGAAGAGCTCGTACTGGAAATGGCCGCCATCAAGAAACAGAGCAAGACGAAGAACTGGATAGACGCCAGCCCCGAGGGCACCGTCACACCAGGTATGTGTATATTGTGCTAGCATCTCGGTAACATATTCAACGCTAATAGGCGTGCTCATTCCCATCAAGACTCAATAGAGGTATAGCCTACTACCCTCAAATGTCATTAACGTCGCACGGAGCATCGCTGCCGCTCCGATATCGTTATTACCATTGACTGAGGTGATCAGGTCACAATGCCGCTGTAGCACCGGCATCAGTATTCCGTGTTACTTGGTCCGGTACGGAGAAGGACCACCACTCGCGTCATGATTGAGGCATTGCGTATGACTATCAACAGTGTAGCGTGCATATTGGTAAGGGAAAGGCAGATGCAAAAATATGTAATGTGATAACCTTTTTTGCAAAGAGTTGATAGCAATGGAAATGATCTGAGAGCAGTTTGGATATAAAACTGCGCCCATTTAGATGAAAGATTCCCTACGAAAGCTTAAGATGTGCAGGTGCACATTTACATAAATGGAAGAAAGTAACCGATTGAATTCATTCTGTTACGAAGAGATGAGTCTCGTTTATTGTTGTCGCCGGTGTTCCGCCCGGTCGGAGGAGGCGGCGGAAGCGGCGCAGGTGCAGGTGTTTCCGTGCCGTGCCGCGCGGCCCCCTCGGCTCCCACGTGTTGCCGCCGCCATTCAGGCGGTCCCCAGGTGATCGGGCACCGCGTCATTCTCTTCCCAGACTCGTTCCTGCTGTTCAACGGCAGCACGGCACGATCCAGCCCGCTGGGAACGGCCGTCACCCCCGCCAGTCTGGAGGGACTCAACGACCCCCCGCCGGCCGCCGGTGAGTACATACGAGCACGGCGGGGTGCTTATGTAGCTTCTCAGCGCGACTGTCTGCCGCTTCAGGGAAAGGCGATCGATCGCAGCTCCTCTCCGACCCGATCAGGAGGTCCTTACCACGGTGACTGGTCAAGAGGGTCGTGGCTCCTATAACTGAGCTGATTCCTTCCAAGATGGCTCCTTTCTCCTACCAAAGCGTCGGTCGCGTCCGCCCGGGTCCCGCTGGCTACACCCCGATACCGGTTTACTCCGTGGCTGCCGGTGTCACGCGGAGACGTGCCGCCCCCGGCTTTGTGGCGATAGTGGGGCTGTCGAACGGTGGGTTATCTGTCAGCGGTTGGCACTGCCCTGGCGGGCGGCGGCACCGCACCTCGGACGAGGAGATCGGCGGCCACGGCTGCCAGAGAGGGCGTGGAATGCTGCAGGCCGTGCGACCGCCTACTGGGTCTGACGCCGCCCACTTGCTACAATCAGCGACACATGGGCGGCACATACGAGTAGGCGGCACGTAGACGGGACATGGCACAAAAGTAGCGCATATAAGTGCACTTCAGTGGCATATGAACAGGACAAGGGCGGCATGTAAACGGCCACGAACGGCACTTTAATGGCACGTTAACGATATAATTACGAACGGCTCCAAGGACGCATGGACAGTTCAAACCAGCACCAACAACGCAAGACGGCACAGTATTGCACAAGAACGGCACATGGACGATACATGACAACTAATGCGTTAATAATAGGTACACAGATGGCATCCCCGTCCGTCTGCTTTCTTGTTGCAGCACAGATATGTAAGGCACTCAAAGACGTTTTACTTACATCAGAACATTCGGTACAATTGCGGCACACACTCCCTTCATCTCAAAGTGCCAATGAAGCACTGCAGTGCTTTGACAGTTAGGGCCTATAATTTGCAATAAAAAGTATATCACAAAACAAGCATTCATTGAGCCTGACACTATTAGCGTATGCCCACACACACATGCATATAGCATGAAATGCAATTTGTTATTGCATGGTTTAGCAGCCGTTACGTTTTAAGTGCAGTCAGACAAAGATTCTTACAGATAGGCAAAGTCAACGCACGACTGAGGCTACGGCTGCTTCAGAAATTGAGGCCCTTATGGAGAAATATGATGAGCACCGTCAGAATGGTGACGACTGGAAACGGCCTGGAATGGCCGGTCGGCCTGAATGAATTGTGGTGGCTGGTGCAGCGGACTTTTCAGCGAGGCCTCGCTCAGACATATCCTTCGTTGCTACGAACTTATGGTATTTTTATGCATTTTATACGTTTATCATGTGTTTGGGTCAATAAGAGGAAATAGGCATCCATTATGTGCATTTCTATCATGTGCCTACTACGCATACGAGTATGACTGTGTGTATGAATATGGTATATGGATATATATGGTATATGAATATAAAAAATCGTAACTAATAAGAAGTAAGCAGGACGGCCCTTGCCTCCCTCTTGCAATCAACGTATCAAAATTTTAGTTTTTTTCGCTCACATGGTCAGGGTATATAGGGACTTTGGAGCGTGGTGGAATGTACTAACATTCTTTGCACGTATGTACACAACTGTTCTTTTACACGCCATTTGAGTTATTACAATTTTTGCTGAAGTTGATCGCTGCAAACTTTCTTTCAATCATTTGTTCTCGTTTTAATTGAACGACGCCTTTCTAAGCATACCTATCCCGTCCGACATGTCATTGGGGAAATTGAATGACGAACTCTTTTCTAAAGCGCGTGGGCTTTTCTCATCAGCCGCGGCGCAAGGTTTTCGGCCGGTTTGTGCGGCTCGATCTGGCTCTGGTTCATTCTGTCCGACACTGGCTGAGCTACGGGCCTCATTTAGCTAATGGCACCGGTGAATGAGCTGGGCCGGCCGGCGGGGATGATTCGGTTTGAGGCGGTGGGCGCAGCGGCCGCCACATGGCGCCCCGGTCCCCGGAGAGGCGGCGGACGAGCGGTGCCGCCGCGGTGGGTGGATTACCTACCTACCCCGAACGGGCGCCGGCCCTGAGTGGTATGCACGCGGGGCAGACGGACCAACTGAGAAGAGAGAGAGAGAGAGAGAGAGAGAGAGAGAGAGAGAGAGAGAGAGAGAGAGAGAGAGAGAGAGAGAGAGAGAGAGAGAGAGAGAGAGAGAGAGAGAGAGAGAGAGAGAGAGAGAGAGAGAGAGAGAGAGAGAGAGATTCTCCTCCTACCATGTGCTGCTGCCTGCTGGTGAACTAATTTGAGCCATTATCATTAATTTTACCAGATCCTTTCGTGTGATCGTGCCCGTCCTCATTGCCAATGCCTACGTAAATGTGCGCGACTGCGACCACGCCTGCGGCTGCGGCTGCGACTGACACGGAGCGTATCCCCCGCAGAGTGGACCGGCCGGCCGAGCGACATTCAGCTACCAGCGCCGCCCTCCAGCCGCTCGCCGGCCTGCTCCGTCGCGTCCACCATCGACCTCGACGGCATCATGGCCAAAATCGAAAACGACAACAAGATACTGGCCGAGCTCGACAAAAACCGCTCCAACATCGGTGAGAGACGCGCAGAAACAGCAGGAGAGGACCGAATGACTTAGTTTGAAATGATGGGAGTGCTTCCAAAGCCAAATGAGAATGCGCTTATATAAACGTCAAAACGTAGGACAGGCTGTTTCTCGATCTTTCAAGAGTGGGAAAGCTTTGACCGTTCTGTTGACCATGTTAGCATCACTCAGGAAACATTCGACTAAAACGTGACTGCTAAGCTGGCCGAGGCTTAGCAGTCAGCGTTAATAATCGAAGCTATTTTTCAGGCCTGAGCACCAGTTCTTCAATAGCTGCCACCAGCAAGTTTAACTCCACGATTCCGACGACTTTCTCGACCTCGCGGGGGGTGTCTATCGGCGGAGCCAGGCCGGTGAACCGTGTGGGAACGACTCTGGGTCAAGTGACGGGTCAGCTGACAGCCAGCCACCCCTCCGTCATCCCCAGTCAGCCGGGGCTGGTCAGCCAGCCCGGGGTGCACAACCACTCTGGGCTCCACCAGTCAGGCGCTCTCAGTCAGGCCGGCCTGGCCGCCCCGACAGTGCTGTCTGGGCAGCCGGGAGTGCTCCCCGCCGCGCCGGCGGTCCCCGCGCCGCAGTCCGTGCTGCTGAACAGTGTCGGAGTGCCGGGTCACGGCGGAGTGACGGCCGCCGGCGGATCGCTGCTGGGCGGCCACTCGGCGCTGCCGGCCCTCCCCGCCGCCAGCCAGCCCCCGCTGCTCAGCCAGCCGGCGCTGCTGCGGACACACATCAGCGAGCAGCCGAGTCTGTTGACGGCGCACATCAGCCGGCCGCTGACGTCCGCCGCGCCAGCGACCGGCGCCCTGTTCCAGGGGCGGCCCGGAGCCGGACTGTCAGCGCTCCACCCGACAGGTAAGGACCGTCCCGGGCCGCAGAGAGCCTCCCGACCTGTAAAGAGCCGCCCGCAGTCGGCACCGCGGCCACCGCAGACGTGCTGCCCTGGCAGCGACCACGGGCAGAGCGCTGTGCGCCGGTTACCGCTCAGTTCATTACGTCGTTACGGTAATTTTATGCCGGCCGTTGTGATCTTGAGGTCCAGACGGCTATTCAGTTTACGGCTATGCTCCTCCACAGCCTGAGTGGGCGTCTGCGCAGTTACTTCAGTTATTTATATCGGCCAACACGTGCTATAGAGGGCGGGGATCCTGGAATGGGAGACATTAGATGTCGTGTGTCCCCTGACCTCTCAGGAACACATGGGCACGTATGTCCCTGTATGAGGGCAGGTACACCAAGTGCATGCCAAAACTCTTAAAAAACGCAAATTCAATTTAACTTTGTTGAGTATTCTTCAATGCCGAATGACGTATCTTTACAAAATGATCTGTTTTGTAAGAATAAATCGAATATTAGTTTATCAGCTCAACTCAGCTTACCGAAAATGATCGGCAAGAGACATGCTCCATCGTCAATATTTTCAGTCTGTGCGATGTAAGTAGAGGAACTTCAATCACGGAGTCTCAGTCCTTAGTTTTAGCATTCAACGATTTACTGACTTTTGTTCCTTCGCAAGATTGATAAAAGGGACTCAGTTGCACTGCAATACCACATGCCTAACTATATCTCACTTTGTTAGAAGATGCTATCTTTCCTGTAAGTGCAACACTTTTGTGTAACTAGCCACTGTTAACAGCCTTGATGTGAAACTGACCACTCTAAATGGTCGAAATGAAGAATGCACCGGCCAGTAAAGCGTTTAACGGCCACCGCCCTATGTAAGGAGGTAGCAGCGCCGCGGTAGTGCGCTGTCACACCGTCGAGTGCCGCGGCTGCCGGTGTCGCCTGCATTATGCAGCCGTTTCACTTGTTGTGTCGCCCTCAGGTCGACTGGACGGCGTAAACGGCGCACCGGCCGCCACTCTGCTGGGCACAAACGCGGCGCACCTGGCCGCCAGCGCGGCGGCCGTGGCGCAGCACCCAGCCGCGCTGCCGACGTCCATCATCGATGTGCTGGAGGTGCCGGGCAAGGGCAAATGTCAGGTGCACGTGGCCAGGTGAGACCGTCACTCCCCAGATTTCTCCGTATCTCAGTTAAAAAGCTCCTTCTCCGGGGCTCGTCCCCCTGCCCCCTATTCTTTGTGTATATTGACGCACAGATAGTCATTTCTTTTCCTGAGGCAGGATATGTACTCTAAATGAAAATGATGTTTAAAAACGGCAGGTATCGCTACAAATGTAATGTGTTACGAAGTTTGGTTCTTTTTTTTCTTTTTCTTTTTGTTGACCGCGTCTTCGAAGTTCGACGCTGCGAGATCCATTCAGAAATATGAAGGTTTGTGTCTCGAAATCGTTCACAGATGTCCAGTACACATGGAAACACTCCCGGCGAATGGATAGAACACAAGACCTTGATTCTTCTTGGGCACGAACGTTATACCTACGTAGCGATACAATAAACTAATGGAAGTAGCTGGCCGCGCCGAACGCTTATTTAATCTGACAAGTGATCCCTTGGAGGAGCATCTCGTAGATAGCCCACGGCCCATGCGACTGAACGTGAGCCGACCCGGCCCGGGGCCTTCTATTGACCCGATCGACGAGCTCGGCCGCCTGTCCGTCGGGGCAGACGGCCTTGTTGGGCGGGCTCTCAACAGCCGACCGAATCCATACGTGCGATTAGGTTAAAGGAAATAGTTCACTTTCACGAAATTATTTTTCTTGCAACGGATTTATGATTTTTTATGTTCAAAATAATCAGCAAAGAAAATAAAACCTTTTTATAACAAAATATTATTTTCTTTATTTTGATATAGGAAGAACTTTTCAGTTTCTGTAAGGCACACGCGATCCAGTATGAAAAGAGCATGGGTCCCGAAAATTCTTCAGAAACAGAGAAATTATCGCAGCCACCGGCATTTGGGCGATCTGCTCGATCTGATAATGTTCCCCTGAATGTCCTAATTGATCAGTACGAGAATTTCTCTCGAGTTCTCGTAGATAATTTCTCTAGTTTCTGAAGAATTTTCGGGACCCATGCTCTTTTCATACTGGATGGAAATATATGCAAGGCACACATCCTCAACGCAAGACACCTTTTTCGGGACGAGAAATAGAATATCTTTGCCTACTGTTAACGCCAGACCCCTTGAGACCCTAATTTTTCGCGATTATTTTTAAATGCGTGGAAGAATTTCAACCAAGTTCAGGACATCGCCGTTTCAAGACCTGCCGAAACTTTTACAATTTAAATATTTTGTCGCCATTTCAATATTTCAGGCACTTCTCATTGACTCGTAATGTTAAATTTCGAGCAAGATTTTCACCCGGTGTGTAGAGGCTATCACCAGTCAGTCTGTGATACGTTATGACGTCAAAGCTAAGCCCCGCCTCTGTGGTCTTGGCCTGCGGCGGTTTCGGGCCGGCGCGCGGTCACTCGCGCTGTGGCGGGGAGCGGGGACAGTCGAGCGGTGCCGAAAGCCGGCGGAGTTGTGCGTAACGTCTTGTCTGACAGTGCCCAAAGAGCGACATGATGACTGAGGAGCCATAAATGCTCAATGCGCATTGTTTGTACAATGCTGATAGGTTCGCTGATATTTGTTTTATTTTCATAAGCTGCAAAGTGCAAATGACGGGCAGATGGCATATACCTGACATAACGTTAGGAAATATTCACCTGTATTTAAAGCCTATGGCGTTGCAGATAATGTGATAATGGGATGTCGGATGTCATCAAGTAGTTGCTGATTTGTACATCGCTATGCAACCATCGAACAACGCAATAATTAGTTAATTGCCTTCGCTTCACACCATAAGGCTCGCTCGTATTTCAAACATATATCCTATATCGAAAATCGTATTTTTAGGAATCTTTAACGTTTGTTCGAAGCATGAGTGAGTAGTAGGTTTAGGAGTGATGGTTCTCTTGGTCCTATACCTATACGAGAGTCAACAAGAGCTTAACATTTACTTGACCGTCTGCTGCAATTTGAATTGATACATAGCACGTGAAGCGTCAGCGAAATTCATAGTCCTTTACAGATGGCAGGGGTGTCGTGTGTACAGAGGTCGCTGATGGGCACGGGTCATTGCCGCAGTCGTGGGCGGAGCCTAATGTCATATGACGCATGAAAGCCTCTGTCCAGGATGGAAAAACAGTTAACATTACGAGTCAATGACAAGTGCCACAAATATTTAAATGACAACATAACGTATTTGAAGAAAAAGTTTCGGTAGGTCTTGAAACAGCTATTTCCTAAATATGGTTGAAATTATTCCACGCATTTAAAAATAATCGCGAAAAATTAGGGTCTCAACGGGTCTGGCGTTAACAGTAGGGTGATCGTTGGGCTGTAAAAGCTCCTGATTTATGCTCGTCTCAGCCCAAGCTACGGAACTGCTATTCCAGTTCAAAACCCATGTTAAAAAGTGAACTATTTCCTTTAACCAGTCGGGAGCCGAGTGCCTTCGCAACGTCGTCTTTGAGTGACCTTCCGACCCGTATCGACTTGGAAACAATCCATTGCTGACGAAACGACACACTGAACCAACATTGGGCTTCAGATACCAGCAGCATCAGCACATGTGGCTGCCTTTGTCAATGTCATCGGAAGCATCATCTCACTGCATGGTGCTTATAAAAGATGCACGTTCGATTTAGTTTAGGGCACATTATTACAAAGCACGATTGGAAACGTCCAAACTATACCGTTCAGCTCCACGTGATGTTCCTAGAAAATTGTAATTACCGCTTATCTAGCTCCGCATCGGGTCATTCAGCCTTGGCCGCTCAGAAATTATTTTGTAATTATTTCAACACTGAGCGGTGCAATTGGTACAATCAAACCGATCCCTCCCGGTGGTGCCACTTTCGGGGACAATGCGTCGAATGGTTGCTGATTTGTAGCTCAATTAGTTCTGCTCTGCGACTGCAGTTACATCCGTATTGGGAGTTAGTTTCTGCCTGCATGATTTCGTCATGCAACGGTGCTGATTGCTACACTAATGTGAGATTCATCTTGAAAACCAGACCTTTATGGAATCACGCTTATCCTAGGCAGTCAAGTAATGAGGCACACATAATGATCCGATGTATCGCTGACTTTTTACATCTTTATTTGACACCTTTTTGTGCATCGTTTTACAAACATTTTTGCCGATAACTCTTATTTTTGTCTTATACCTCTGCCAGTTAAGTTAACACCGTACCTAAAACGCTAACGTTCCATATGGAAACGATTCCCAGGAGAGAGTCAAATGGGTCTCTGTCCTGGTCCAAGATCCAGGGGAAATGTAATGAACATACGTACCACTCTTTCTCCTTCTCCGCTGATACCAGTTGAATGCGCTCCTCACTTCACACTTCTCTCGCCTCCAGCCGACCATCCCAGGTTTTAGCACGACCCGCTTCTCTCGCCTCCATCCGACCACCCCAGGTTTCAGCACGACCCGCTTCTCCCGCTGGGCTGTAACGTCCCACTCTGCCCGGGGCAGGTTCTCCTACGACCCGTTCCAGCACTCGCCGAACGAGGCGCCCGAGCTGGAGCTGCGCCTCAAGGCCGGCGACGCCGTGCTCGTCTGGGGCAGTATGGACGAGGACGGCTTCCTGGACGGCGAGACGCTGGACGGCCGGCGCGGCCTGGTGCCCTCTAACTACGTCACCAAGCTGGTGGGCGCCGACCTGCTGGCCTTCCACCGCCGGCTCACAGAGCAGCTGGCCGGCAGGACGGCCGCCGACGCGGCCAGCAGCGCCAAACGCGCCGCCGCCGCGCTCAGGAGGGCCGAGGAGCGCGGCGGCGAGGAGGCGGCACTACGACACCGGCTGGGTGAGTGGGGGAGAGGGACGCTCAGGGGGCGGCACTGGCTGGGTGAGTGTGTGTGTGTGTGGGGGGGGGGGGTCTCAAACACCGGCTGGGTGAGTGGGGGAGGGGGCTCCGGTACCGGCTGGGTGAGTGGGGAGATGGGGGGCTCTCCGACACCGACTGCACTTCCCACTCGCCCATGGGTGAACAATACAAGACATTGACGTCGGTTATCCAAAATGTCACACGATCGTTGGACACTTTATTTCATGGATGCCCATGTAAGTCGTTACCGGTCTCGCTGACAATTCTTACAGTGATGAACTTATTCAACTTAGCTATTAAACTAAGAAAAGGTCGCCACCACATGATAGATAACCTGAGATCAATTCGTGCATGCGGCTGGCGCCTGGCACACGCACTTCAACCCTCGCCGTGGGGCAGAATTCGGAGGCCGTGCCGCGCTGCTCCGCTGACCTGTGGCATTTGCGTCAACGCCTCGCCTCTCTCGCTGGGGTGCCATTAGCGGTAATGTAACGCGATATGGACGTGGTGTTACGTCCGTTATTTATTTTTGCAGCGGGCAATGAAAACATAAGGCCGAATTCCCAGTCATGTGGAGGCCCCGTTCGTTGCATGTAATGGTTCATTTGTGCTGGCGGTATTTTCTGCAATGCTGTTTTAAATGAAACTCTTCTAAAATCTTAGGCGCAATGTTTATTCGCCTTCTCACCTTGTGGTGGTAATTTTTCTTTGAGTACAAGATGTTCGCCTTCCTTCATGCCCTACTAAAATCATGCTGTTTTTTTATTTGATGGTTTATCACAAAAATATTTGTTTGGTGAGTAACTGTCACATTTTGAGACTTCCGATGCTCTGAATTGTGTGTGCCTGAGAACTCTTTGACATGGTTGCTGCTTGGCGCTTTTTTTCTTCCTCAAAGTTGACTTCCAAGCCATGTGTAGAGTAACATACAATGCCGAGCTCTTCCACACGCATCAATTTCGCCAGAATGGTGCCACTTTTACACATACAGAATCGCAAAAAAAAAAATTATAAGGCAATCATCCCGAGCTGCTGCTTCTGACCTTTGTCCACGACATGCTCTGTAAAGAAGCGCCGCGGCCGCAGATTATCGCTGGGTACCGGTGCTCTTCCACCTTGTGGACTCAACGCAGTGCGCTCCCGTTTAGTCTCGGCTGTACTGTCCCTTGTTGGATACATATTTTATATAATACGAGCCTTGTCGCTCCTTTGTTGTGTTCCAGTGTCCGATATCGTAGGAGCAGGTCGCTGCATCCTTCTTGTTTCTGCGCTATTGTCTCATGTTGCGTGCTTGATTGACTTTTGTCCGCGCCTTGACCTCATCTGAAGTGCTGTACTTAATCTGGACGACGCCCAGTCTTCCTGTGCTTCTGTCTTTGAGTCTGAGTTCCTATCTAGGGCTCTTGTAACTTGCCTCAGCCCATTGTCCGTTGCTGTAGCGCCTTTCAGCCCACCGTGACATCTTAGCCCGTTGTGTTGTTTGGCCACCCGGCCAGGCAGCAGACAGCTGCAGTGCATATTATGCTGCGCTGTGCCGCGCTGTGCTGTCGAATCCCTCAGCCCGCCGTGTTGTGTTGTGTTGTGCTGTGCTGTTCGCCCCCTCAGTCATGTTGTGCTGTGTTGTACCGTGCCGTGCTGTGCTGTTCAGCCCCACATTCTGCCGCACTGTGCTGTGCTGTGCTGTGCTGTACACAGTGCCGTGCTGTGCTGTTCGCCCCCTCATTCCGCCTCGCCCCGCCCCGCAGCTCAGAGGCGCCAGTCAGACCACGGCCGACGGTCGGCGCGCGCCGTCCCAGAACTGAGGAGGGCCCAGTCGTTCCGCTACGAGCGCGCCTCGGACGGCCCGCTGGCCGCCGCCGCCGGTGGGTCCGCTGACCCTGACCTGTGACCCCGGACCTCTGACCCCTACTCCTGACCCTGACCTCTGACCCCTGACCTCTGACCCCTGACCTGTTACACCTGACCTTTGACCCCTGCTCCTGACCCTGCGTCTGACCTGAACGACTAGCATCTGGGTCAAAATCCTGTCCCATACCATCTGACCTCTAAGTGCCAACCCCTGAGTCCTAACTCCTGATCCTGATTCCTGACACGTTACGCCTTGCCCTCTACCCCTGACTACCCTGACCCCTGACTGGTAGCCCCTGTCGGCCGCTGGTGCACATTTGGACAGCTCGTCTCGGCAGCACGCACGCCATTTGCCTCCAGCACGCATGTCGAGCATGTTCGTCACGCACATCCTGTCTTATCATCGTGGCGATGTGCCGTTCCCTGCGTTAGTGAGCTGTTTCCTGCCGTATTGTGTAGTTCCCTGCCATAGTGAGTTGTTCTCTGCCGTTCCCTGCCGTAATATGTCGTGCCTGTCGTAGTGTGCAGTTCACTACCGTGATGACCCGTTCCTGCCGTAGTGGGCTGTCCCCTGCCGTACATAGTGTCCCGTTCCTATCCGTGTGCCGCAGTAGGCAGTAGATCCCTGCCGTAGTATGCTGTTCCTTGTGTCGTTCTCTGCCGTATTGTGCCGTACTTGCCGTAGTGTGCCGTTTCCTGCCGTAGTATACCGTTCCCTATCGGTCTCTCCTCGAATAGCGCATTTTTATACAAAACAATTTGTTGTAGCGTTACCGGGAGTGCAAAGCAAAAGTCGGCTTTGTTGAGCTACCCTATATATTTTTGAGTGCATATATTTTTTAAGAATGTAAGAGCATGAGATTACCTGAAGTTGACGCTATTATTGCAGTCATCTATTGTACTTAACCTTGACTGGTATGTATTGCTTGCCTCTGAGAGGAACTTTTTCTTTGCTAGCATAAAAATTCACGCATTATTAGCACACTCGTTTGTCATTTATACGTTTTGTTGTTATGTTCTTGTGAAATGCATGAGGTGTATTTACTGTGTGAAATCTTCTACACCGTAGCGCTACTCATAGCAGCTATTCAGTAACGACAGACGCTTTTTTATCACTTAGTAACAGCGGTAACTTTAACAGGTCCTTTGGATTATGCAGCAGACACTTGTGACTTTTACAGCGTTTACAGGTATATTAGCGTTTTTAATTGCGGATTGACACTGTCAAGCCGACGAGCTCATTTAACTATTCATGTTCCACCTCTGCTCAGTGCTCTGTTAGTATTTGATATTCCTCTACTTCAGTATTCTCCCGACCACGCATTGTCAAAGCTCACTGTTATTGATCTGGGGTTGCCGTGTGGTATCAACTTACCAATTACCCATGTGTCATCGGTATCGAATGTGTCCTCGCGGTGACTTTTGATGCACTCGGCCGCGCCTGGTCGGTGTCCGTGTCGTCACCGTTCGGTGCCATACTATCTTCAGGCCGCTGTCGTGACCTGTCGCACTGTGGCCTCAGATGACTCGCGGGTCGGAGGGCAGCCGCACGTCGGCTTCGACCTTGACCCGGGCGTGCTGAGTGACGAGGCGGAGCGCGACTTCCGCGTGGACCCGACACTGCCGGCCGGTGAGTGGTCAGAATGGAGGTGTTCCGCGGCGGTCGGGCCACGGTGGGCGGCGCGGGTCACTGTGGAGACGTCACGGGTCACTCGTCACTGGTCACTGTGGGTAAGGCACGGGTCACGGGTCGTGGGCCGTGGTGAGTATAGACGACACGTGTCACTGTGGACGGTGGATGACCAGTCTACCATATGCCGACAATGACTTGGACCACTCAGCAACAGTGTGGTTTGGTTCGTATTCCCAGATAAGCCCAACATTCCTATATCCGACAATCTAACCTCCACAGCTCAATGGTTCAACATGTCACAATCGAACAGACAGCAGTCGAGTCGCTCCTCGACGCCCAGCCGAGCGGAAGGCAGCAGCCGCCTGCTTAGAAGCCGTCATACTACGCCGCCGTACACTCGTGTGATGCGGCACAGTCTACCTCTACCATTTCTGACGGCTGCTGCATCAGTCTCGACGCCCAGCCGAGCGGAAGGCAACAGCCGCCTGCCTAGAAGCCGTCATACTGCGCCGCCGTACACTCGTGTGATGCGGCACAGTCTACCTACCGTCTCTGGCGGCTGCTGGGGCGAGACGTTGAGGATATAAGAAGGGGCAGCGGGTATTGGGCATTGGGGAGCATCGGACAACTGTGATATTTTATCCGGACACCTTTCAAGAAGATAGTGTCTTTGGAATTTCATCGTTTTTATGTTGAGATAGTAAATTTTGTTGAAGTTTTCATAGACATGACATATCTCTAATCTCTTCCCTGTGTCAGATGTGTTCTTGACTATGAAAACGTTTTATAGTGGTATATTATATTTTTCTATATTTACTTTACTTTGCTTGTCTAGAAAATATTAATCAAAATAAACAACACAAAGGGTCAACAGGGCCGCCTCATGTCAGGCGGTAATGGCGTTCTAAAACGACGTGAATGTACGAGTACACACTAGGATTTCGCATGGTTGTCGGAGATTCTAGTTACGTTGGTTGTATGCGACTTGACAGCCTGACGCTCTAACGGGAGTGGAAGCTGTCATATTCCGGTCAGAGCCATTGGGCTCTTAAAGTTTACGTCATGCCGCCATGCAGCCGTCATGTTACATCCGAAACCTACATGTATGTCTAAATCTGGAGACGTATAACATTGATTTTCAAGCATTGAGCTATTCAGCTATTATAACCATTGTGGCAACACTGCGACAATGTGGGATGGATGCTTTTTTGCAGTGTACGTATACCTACTGTTTAAAATGCTGGATTCGTGTGTAAACTAAGCGGTGAATCTTTTTCGACCCTACTCGTACGCGCACCGCATCCTTGCTAGCTTCTCCAGCTAGCCAACGACTAACGAGGAATACTGAGATAGATCGTTTTATGGGGACCAGCTTCATTATGCCCTTTTATGTGCTTTGAATTTTGATACCAATATACCTTCTCCCGTCTCTAACACCACATCGCTAAATTCCACTTAAAGTAGCTACCCAACGTTTCTATCGTGTGCAGGGTCAGGTTCAGTGCATCTGCAACTAACTCTGACCCAGGATCTGACCCCGCTCCGAACTGCGGTGTTGTCTCTGACCCCGCCGATGACCCCGCCCGCCCCCCCCCCCTGACCGGCAGTGCCGGCGCCCCGTCAGCTGACCCCGCTCCCCCCCCCCCCTGACCGGCAGTGCCGGCGCCCCGTCAGCTGACGCTGGAGCGGCAGCTGCACAAGTCCGTGCTGCTCGGATGGACCCCGGCTGACTCCGGATCGGGAGAGGTCATCGAATGCTACCACGTGTTCGTGGACGGCCTGCTGCGGTGCACGGTCAGCGCCGGCGAACAGTGCCGCGCCCTCCTCGAGGGCGTCGACCTGACCCGGGTGAGTACCGACCTCGACCCGGCGTGACCTGGGGGGGGGGAGGGGGGCAGACCCCCGTCCGGCTGTGAACTGACATCGGAGAGATAGTCGCTGTTAATTCCAAACAGTTCGCGAAATGAGCCGGCGTCGAACAGGCGCGGTGCAATTTGGGTTTTTATTGCATGCAATGCATCAGGCCTGTCTTTAAATAAATAACGGAATTGAAACCATTCACATTGATCCACTCGGCAGCCCCATTCCCATCAAGGAAACCGCTCACAAGATAAAAACGGTGCTGCCGCTGACATTCCATTAGTTGTCAATGTGAGCAATGACGGTGGCGTACAGATGTGCATTCCGGCCACGTAATTCAGCTTTCTCCGTCCCGCTGCGCTCGCAAAGCCATGACTGGTGGGTAAGGGTCTATGTATTGTAACATTTACCCCACGTCATGCGCTTTGGGTGAGGGTAACGCCATGTCGATGTCAGCCCATCAGGTGGAGCAAATACGGGGTCAAGTGCTGGCTCGGGATGACCGGCCCGCCGGTGACGGAGCGAACTGATGGCGCACCGGCGGCGACACGCATCACAGACCGCATAACTTGGAGTCCTGCCGATCGGCGCCACTCAGGGCCGGGAGGCCATCAGGCCAACGATCGATCGACCTGGGATCGCTAGAGATAGCATGCACGTCAGGGCAGAAAACCCTGACCGGTGCGCAACCCCTCGGGGGGCGTGGGCCCGCAGGCCAACCAATAACCGAACGCGCTGCCCCTCAGGGTGCGCCTGACCGGGCGCGCTCGGCGCCCGGCCGAGACTGCCGCGAGGAGCGGGCCGCGCCCGCGCGCCGTCCAGCGAGGGCCAGCCGCCGGCCGGCCTCGCCGTCGGAGACCACGCCATCTAGTAGCCGATATAAGTACGACAGGGGAGAGCGGCGGCCGCGCCGCGGCGCCGGCCGCTGGGCTGACTCGCAGTCCCCGGTGGGGCCAGGGAGGAACAACGGGCTGGAGGGGAGGGGAGCCCGGGGGACGCGACGTATCGGCGCGGCCGGCTCCAGACAAAGGAAAAACATGGCGGCGCTGCCGCAGAATACCGTACCGGCCACGCGCACCTACGCGCAACTGGCACCCACTGTAGGGGGTAAGGGGGCACTACAGTCACAGTAACGCGGCGAGCACTTGCGAGAGAGAAGAATAATAAATGAGAGAGGATTCCGAAGTCTTCCGTAGCGTCAGCCAGGCTGGCGAGACGGAGCGCGTGGCGGCGGGATCGCCGCCTGCGTACGCAGACGACGCAAAAAGGGAAAAATATAAGCCGACCGCGGTGGTCCAGCGATTCCCCAGCACGTGGGTCGTACTCACCAGTCAGCAGAAACAAGGGCTACCCAAAAGATGGGGCGCAACAAGAAAACGAGCAAACCTAGCTGTACACAGCAACAGGCTGCTCACGGCGCGGGGCGCGGGCGCACACTGGGGCTCTCTCTATCGTCTGGAGGTTTCGAAAGATGCTCTCCAGAGATGGCGCTAGTAAATTTGGCTGACATGACGTCATGCTAAAAAGTGATGGATTTTGTGAGAGCAAATGTAATAAAAGTTGAAAATTTTGTACTTTTGCTTAATTAAGAAAAAATAAATATACAATTGTTCAAAACAGCGTTTTCCTCATTCATCCTTCATTGTTTTAAGAGGAATATAGACAATTTAAATATTTTTTCTTGACCGCAATTCGCACACGCACTAAATTAAAAGCTGGAGTTTTGTGCGTTCGTAAATTGTGATTTGAGAAAATAAATTGACAATTATCTTTTGCACTTTTGCTTTACAATCATTTTTCAATGCAGATGAATGCATAAATTATTCAAAAATAGGCATATCTTTGAAATATTATGATTTTCCACAAGCAAATTTTCCCAAAAACTTGAACTACTTACAACTGACGAACGCATCCAATAATCTGGATGTCTTAGGATGAGTTCGTCATTTTTTCCCAAGGAAATACGATACAGTTCAAGCTATTTTACCGATTTATTAGGGTACTTTTGCCAATGAATTAATAAATAAATGACAACAATTAATCTCATTATCAACCATACTCGGAAGCATTTTTTTCGCATAAGCGCGAACACATCCGCGCTTTCATGAAAAGTCACGCCTGTAGATGTCAGGACTGCTGCTTTATGTTTCGCAAGGTGGCGCAGCGCGCAGGGTGCCGACTACCGAGGCTGAGGTCTCCAGACTCTCCACCACGATTTAACTTGGAAATGGCCGATGGGGAAGGTCTCACCCAAAAACGGACGCCCTTTTACACAGCTGCATAAAGAGAATGAATTATTGGCATAGCTGACCACACGTCCCCTCTCCCTCTCCGCCCCAGCTCAATAGGAAATATCGCCTATTTTCCTTAGTCAGTTATATTCTGACTAATTTCTCACTCTTCCCAGTAAACCTTAACATGCATGATGCAGATGTCCACTGCGTAAGTCGTGTGCTTCCGTATGTGTGCCAACTATATAGTGTTGCCTACACTCTACAGTACAGCCTACTGCTTCCCCATTGTCGTTATAATTGGTGATTCTCAGGTCAAAAGTTACACAGTGGTCTCAGAGAACAATCGTTTCAACAAATTAACGATTCAAACCATTGCATTCTACTTATATTCCGGTCAGTTCTGCTACTAAACGATTCCGGCAAAACACTCTTTAGGTTATGTATTAGCGAACCACCACACAAAATTCGCCCAATCAATGGTCAGTTATTACTGCTGGGCTGAACCGTCATACGCTATATAGCCTATTGCAGTCAATATTTTCAGAACGATACTGACTGACGAAACACAACGTATTCGCGGATTCGCACATACGTTGGCACCCAGGTGGCCTGTCAGCAGCCGCACAAATCCGCACAGCGCAGCCGGGATTTGACATTGAGATGGTACACCGTAAAGCATGCCTTTCCACACAGGCACAAGCACAGGGACACAAATTCTCAAAATCCAAACTTATTCCAATACTGGTCAATTGCGAATAGGCATAAAGTTTTGAGGTTTTCTCATGTTCATTCTTCTTTCACTAACACACGCGGCAGACTGCAGCAGCTGCAGAACATCTCACAGAGCTGCGCTGGATGCAGTCATGAGCTGGGACACGGTTTGTGACCAATGACCGATCGGGGGTGCCAGCCTCCTCCCGGCACGCGATGCACTGGCCGCCGCGCAGTCGATGTCGGGGCACCGCCGGCATTCGCCGACAGGGTTCCATCCGATTCGGTGTATTGGTGGCAGCCCGAACAGTGACCCACGCGAAGCTGGCGGACGTCGATGGCCGATGAGCGATGCCCTTCCGCGACCGGCGGTGGCAGTCGGTCCCACATCAAGAACAGATACCAGTCATGCGGTCAGTCGGCGACGGCGCTGTCGCGAGCCGATCTGATGGTCGCGCGGTGGGCGTCGCCGACGTCCACCGGGACCGTCGACTGGGGGAGCGCGGCCGCCTCTTGGCCGCCGCCTCTGGTCGGCGAGCTCGTTGCGCTGTGGGACGGCATCCACTGCAAGTCGTTCACTGTGAAGCGGTCGTTTGACCGGACCTGGCAGGCGGGGAAAGGGGGCCTCAGATGAAGTAAAACCATCCCTCAGGCCAGCTTGAACTGGCTCTCCACCTCACCATGTTAGATAAGCGGACACCCTCGTGATCATCGCAGCGATGATTGCCAATTGGTGTGTCATTATGGGAGAGGATGCCAGCCTCCTTTGCAAGATAGTCTGCCTTTAATATAGTGCAGCCCGACCCATTGCCTGTGGCGCAGACTGGGCTTGATAATGCAGTGCAGGACACACCAAACGTAAGCGGCCATCTGTACCCCCTGTGCAGTAGGGCTGACTCAAGAGCCCAGAGTTGCCCTCCCCCCACCATTCTGTGCACGTGATAACTGGATGGGACATGCCATGGTCAGCATCTGTTCAAAAGCTGCCCTAAGCATGTAAAGCTCCACTGGCATGCTCAAGCATGGTCACAGTCAGTTCTCACTTCTCAGTTGAACCTCCAATGGAAACCTATCACAAAGTAGAGATCAGGGCGCCTCTCACACTGCAGCACACTCAACGACTGAGGCACCATCTCATTCTCATCACTTGCAGGTGGTTCTTGCCAGGAGCAATGCCAGCCACGCACATCAGGTGATAACAGCAGTGTACAACTGCAATCTACAAGCATCCATGTTCTTTCTGGTTTTCTCCTGTTGAGATCCACTGCCATGCATGAACTTGATGGGCTTTTGTTGAGCTCCTCCCATGTGCAGACAGGTTTCTGCTGAAACAAAGCAAAGCAAATGTGATTAATAATGGCCCTGTTTCACCATCCAGACACTGTGTGCACTGGTAGCTACGGCATACCATAGCATCACTCAAATGACGTTGCATGTGATCTCTTAGTTTATGATCAATCGCGTTTGGAACAGAGTGAGAGGTTCTGAAAAACCGTACCAAGAACAGAGGTTTGAGTTCAAATACTGCTAGCATGCTGCTGGTGCTGGTACCGCAGCGTGCTAGCGTTCTGGGATGCTGTCATAGCTTAGCGTCACAGTGAAGTTTGTTGACACTGCCATGGAAACCCAATGCTCTGACACACGCAGCGCACTGCAGTGCTGAGCACTGCAGTGCGTGCTCTGCCGTGAAACACCACCCATGAACGTTGGTTGCATGACCAGGATGGAGCAGTGTGGCAGACAGTGATTTTAATTTTAATTGCACTTCCTAGAGATTAAAATGTTGTTGGTGAAATTGCTATTCATTATTCCTATAACCATTGTCTAAATTTCACATTTCAAGACAGCATCAGCATTGACATGTTATATAAAATAAGGTTTAGACTTCAGGTGGTCCCGGGTTCAGCTTAAGTAAAACAAGGGCAAAAAATTGTCAAAAAAATATTTAAAAAAAATACCTGCCTTCATCAACACCTCATCTAATCTAACCTCATCCTCATCTAACAAGGCCCTAAAAGCAAAAACCGTTTGAATAACAATGTAATATTTTGCAACCGCTGCACCATTACTGTCACGTACGCTATCCCTAGATTGGTTGCTGGTAAGTAGTGGTTGTCGTCATCAACTCGTCATGCAGCAGCTGATTGGGATGGGCGGGGCCTATTTTTATCCAGGCGATAGAGAGAGCCCACACTGGGGCCACTGGGGCCGACGTTTCACGGTAGGTGTCGCTGTGGCGAGCGGCGCCCGCGCCCGAGAAAGGTTTTGCCGCTCTCTCCCGATAGGTCGCGCGCGTCAAATACATTTTTCATCTGTTGACGTCAAGCTGAACTGGATCGACGGATGTTTCCGCTGACACTATTTTTATGGTGTTATTTTCGACAAGTATCTTCAATAAAGGACAAATACGATCGCGATGTCAATTACTGTTATTCAAAGAAGGACAATGGAGATCAGAGTGTCCAATAGATTGAGTAAGGTGTAAGATGTGCCTGTGGTGCATGTGAAAAGAGGCAGGGTAGAAAGACGGGATGGCATACAATATCACATGCATCCGTAACCGTACGACAATGACTACCTAACGAAGCTAATCAGTAAGGTTCCTCTTTCCATACCTGATCAGTTATCTCTCCCATGTGCCTTTATGATCTCCCTTCTTTCCGTGCCCATCGGAAACCCTCCGTTCTGGGCCTCTCTAACCCATCCCTACCTTTCTGTCTTCTGACCTCCCTGTGCCTATCTAACCCATCCGTGCCTTTCTGACCTCCGTGTGCCTATCTAACCTATCCGTGCCAATCTGACCTCCCTGTGCCTATCTAACCCATCCGTGCCTTTCTGACCTCCGTGTGCCTATCTAACCTATCCGTGCCAATCTGACCTCCCCGCTCATATCTGACCCCCTGTAATCTGACCTCCCCGCTCCTATCTGACCCCCTGTAATCTGACCTCCGCTCCCGGCGCCCCGCTGTACAGCGGCACCGTCTGACGGTGCGCTCCGTGACGCCGGACGGCCGCACCTCGGCGGCAGCTGCCTGCACGCTGGTCATCGGCCGTGACGTGGCGCCGGCGCCGACGGCCGTGCGCGCCACGCACGTCACGGCCACGTCGGCCATCATCGGCTGGCTGCCGAGCAACAGCAACTGCCACCACACGGTGTGCGTGAACCGGGTGGAGGTGCGCACCGTGGCGCCGGGCGTGCACCGGCACACCATCACAGGTGGGTGCCGGGTGGGTGGAGGCGCGCACCGTGGCACCGGGCGTGCACCGGCACACCATCACAGGTGGGTGGCACACCATCACAGGTGGGTGGCACACCATCACAGGTGGGTGGGACACCATCACAGGTGGGTGTAGCACACCGGCACACCATCACAGGTGGGTGGCACACCATCACACCATCAAGGTGGGTGAGGACAAGGACTTTATACATATTTAGGCATTACCATCACAGGTCGGTATCACTCGATGCATAGAGGTATGGACAAATGCTTCCAGGCAAGAAATAGTGGAGATAATTTGTTTGACTTGCTGGGCTAGGCCCTTTCAGTCTGATGCGACAATGTCAGAGCCGAGAGGATGATAGAAATTAGTGAGAGACATTGGTCTGGGACTCTGGGCGGGCACCCTGATACGCCGCCGGGGCCGAGCCCGTCACGTGGACAACCCACCCAGCCTCGCAAACGGTCACCCCACCGCATATGGGTCTTCTGAGGATCTACCCTCGTCGGGTGAAGGTGAACGATCAGTCAGAAACAGCCAACAGGGGTGATAGGCGTGGGGAAGAAGCGTTTATTCGTTTTGGGAATGGAACAGAGTAGACGGAGGGTGAAGGGACTTCAGAGAAATGGTTTATAAATGATAATACCGAACATTTGCACCTTTATTACCACACTGGTAAAAGTAAAGGCAGACAAGATGTGATCAGTAACACGGATTATTGCAGTCATTATGTACCGATCTGACAACTTTCCGGTCCTCCGTCCAGGTCTGTCACCGAACACGGTGTACCGTGTGACGGTGAAGGTGAAGAACATGGTGCCTCACCACCTGAGTAACGGCGACATCAACTACAGACAGCGACTGGAGACGCACATCGAGTTTAGGACGCTGGCCAAAGGTGGGCGACCGACAGTGTCTGTCTGTCTGTCTGTCTGTCTGTCTGTCTGTCTGTCTGTCTGTCTGTCTGTCTGTCTGTCTGTCTGTCTGTGTGTCTGTCTGTCTGTCTGTCTGTCTGTCTGTCTGTCTGTCTGTCTGTGTGTCTGTCTGTCTGTCTGTCTGTCTGTCTGTCTGTCTGTCTGTCTGTCTCCCTCTCTCCCTCTCTCTCTCTCTCTCTCTCTCTCTCTCTCTCTCTCTCTCTCTCTCTCTCAATCTCTCTTCTCTCTCTCTCTCTCTCTTCTCTCTCTTCTCTCTCTTCTCTCTCTCTCTCTCTCTCTCTCTCTCTCTCTCTCTCTCTCTCTCTCTCTCTCTCTCTCTCTCTCTCTCTCTCTCTCTCTCTCTCTCTCTCTCTCTCTCTCTCTCTCTCTCTCTCTCTCCCGACACACATGCTTTACGTGTGATGAAAAGTCACGTTGTAGCGCCAGATATAATGACCAGAACAAATCAAATGCCTTTGATGCGGATCTCATTACGGAGTTGCCACTTGCCAGAGTTCTTGAAATGCTTCGCCTCGACCTCAAGTGATACAATACGTTTTCTGATAAATGATAGCCTATCGACCTTCCAGGATATAGGTGCTGTTTGTATTACATTCACGGCCAACGTCTGGTCGGTCATGCTGCTGTACGATCATTTACTGTCTACCCTGAGCCGTAGGTCAAGGAATCCGCCTATGGGCTGCTCTAAGCCTCATTAACCACTGAGTGTCCGGGAGCACTGGATTTACTTCCATTGCAGTGGGGGTCCTTGCTTAAAGGGACCCTCCCACCTTCAAAAAGTTAATGAATTGGCATGAAAGTGATGTCGCTCGGTTCAGAAAGAGCGAAAACGAATATTTATCAAATTTCATCGAAAAATATTCATCGATTTTCAAGATATAAGACTTTTAATTTTGTTAACTTTCTGGGATCTCCGCTGTTCCTAGCGACTTTATTTGAAAGGGCGGCATTTGTTGCGCGCAAAGCAGCATATACCACCGCGTGCTACCAAACGTTTTAGTAAATGATTTAAAAATCCTTAGATATCCGCTGACGTCACAAATTCTAAGGGGGCATACCAATGCATTAGCCCCTTAAAATCCGAAAACTGCAAGTTTGAAATTCCATATCTTCGAATTAAAGCATTTTTGGATGTTGTGAGTGCCCAAACCGGTATTTTCAGGCCATGGCCACCAATTTGGCTATCTCAACTCAAAACTAATGTTAAGGTGGGATGGTCACTTTAAGTGACGACGTTAATGCCCCTAACATTTTCACGGAAACACATTATTCTTTTTGTTTTAAAAGTTGCCACACCCATTATTGAATGGTGTGAAACGTTTTTTTTAGCATGATTATGATTATAATGGAAATCAGATGGATTAATAACCTTTTGCTCATAACTAATGTAAGCCAAAAACAAATCCAAAATATATTTTCGGTGCTGGACCTTCTGTGATATATATATATATATATATATATATATATATATATATATATATATATATATATATATATATATATATATATATATATATATATATATATATATATATATATATATATATATATATATATATATATATATATATATATATATATATATATATATATATATATATATTTTGGATTTGTTTTTGGCTTACATTAGTTATGAGCAAAAGGTTACTAATCCATCTGATTTCCATTGCCACACCCACTCTAATTTGTGTCCATGCTAACGGTATTTTTTTTTTTTTTTTGGCAGCGAGACTGAAGTAGGTAAATGACGGTTTTGGGTTGCTTTACATGAAGTGATGATATACATGGATAAAAAAAGGGCATGCCTCCTTAGTCCTTATCCCATTTTAAAACCGATAAAATCAACACTCTTCTAAAATTGAAAGCATTCACTTAGAAAAGCCGGCATCCTGTAGTTGATTATCATAAAGCATCTGTTTATCCCAGGTGTTCCGGAGCCTCCGGTCGGAGTCCAGGTCGAGATGGGCCCCCAGGAGGGCTGCATCCTGGTCACCTGGCTGCCAGTGACCATCAGTACCAGCTCGGGCACCAGTAACGGCCTGCCAGTCACCGGGTATGCCGTGTACGCCGACGGACAAAAGGTCACCGAGCTCAACTCGCCCACAGGTGAGCTAACACTCAACTCACCGGACACCGAGCTCAACTCGCCCACAGGTGAGCTAACACTCAACTCACAGTTGAATGACAGGTAAACATACTGATGGTTCTTGACTACGGGCTAATAATACTTCGTGTTTTTTATTGCGAATTATTTTCTGACTGAACAGTTAAAGGACAAAGGTCAATTTATATTTCAGCTTACGCTCAGCTCCATGTCCATATCACATATGTTATTATGATCGCTCGTGACACTACGTCCATTTCTGCGTTTTCCGCAGGTGATCACGCCGTCGTTGATCTGAAGATCATTCGAGGCTTCCAGCCGCGTCAGGTGACGGTGCGCACCAAGTCACGTGACCTGGTGTCAGCTGACTCGGTGCCGTGCCTCATCCCGCATGCAGCCAACGGAAGGGTGAGTACAAAGATGAGTAGGCTTAGTTCTAAAGACAAAAATATGTGATGGGACGTATAAGATATCATCGATAACATTAGCGCTTCTGTTTTGCGCATGCCCTCGGCCCGGCCGTCGTTCTCCGAGCTCTGCTGACGGAGGCCGGTCGTCCCACAGGTGCCCGGTGCCGGTACCCTGAGGAGTCGCTCCCTGGACCGGGACATCATACCGCCCCTGGCTCAGTCGTCCAGCCAGCGTCAGCAAAGGGTGCTGGATACTGAGAACGACTTCAGCGACAGGGAGGCAGAGCTCGACAAGTTCGCCTCCTACAAAGGTAGGTCACTCGGCCAAATATGTTAAACTCAGGACATTGCTGGAGACTTTATGTCACACAGTTACTTCACATTCTGTTTTTCCCTTTATAGGTATTTTGGTTTCACGAGACGTTTCAGGCAGGCTTCATTTGGATTATAACTATTTGAAAGCTGATTTTTAAGGCGTTTAAAGTGAAACATTGCTAAAAACCAGAAGAGGTGGAAGTTACATGTGGCAGTAGGAGTCAATACCCTTGTCCTTTGGCCCTCATCAATCGCATTTCGACCGGACGACCGCCTGACAGCAGCCTTTACGCATCACCGATATATGCCGGCACTACACAACTGACCGTTAGACTGTACCGCAAGACAACAGTGCCCGACGGTGCAGCCGCCGCTCATGCCGTCACTGCACGTCATACACAAAACGACTGAATGTCATACTGTAGACACCGGTGCCGTGCCCGGGTACAGCCGCCACCCACTAGCCCACTAAACGCCTGAGTGTTAGACTGTGCCGCAGTGCACCGGTGCCTGGCGGTACAGCATAGGTACCGCCACCGCACAATACACAAACGCCTGAATGTTAGACTGTGCCGCAGTGCACCGGTGCCTGGCGGTACAGCATGGATACCGCCAACGCACAATACACAAACGCCTGAATGTTAGACTGTGCCGCAGTGCACCGGTGCCTGGCGGTACAGCATAGATACCGCCACCGCACAATGCACTAACGCCTGAGTGTTAGACTGTGCCGCACTGCACCGGTGCCTGGCTGTACAGTACAACCTCCCTCGCGTCCGGTACCGTATCCGCCTATCGCTACACCGCGTATTGTGTAGTATGTCGGGTGGAAGACAACTGAAGCAATGTTGCATCAAATCGCAGATCGACGCCTTTTACATTTACCCATGGAATCCTTTACATGAAAATAAACGAGCCGTTGTTACACTTCCATACAGTAAATCTCTTATTCTCCAATCATTGTCAGCAGCTTAGTGATAACTATTGATTTACATTCAACTGTATCAACTCGCACTTTCGTCTGTGTGTGCCGGGGCGCTGCAGTGACATCATGGTGTATGCCAAATCCTAATGTCATTTCATCTGCTGATTCCCAATTCCAGGTTACGGTGACGACCTCAGCAGCCGGCACCACACGTTCAACGGGCCGGGCGGGAGGGACCACCATTACGACATCCACGCTCCGTGGAGTGACGAGCGGCGCCCGGCGGTTGTGGCGCGAACCCCGGCGGGACCGGCCTCCCACCAGCGCGGCCCGACCCACCACCGGGCCGAGCCCTGCCCGGAGACCGGCTACGGCCGCGACGGGCGACTGCGGTCCAACGGCACTGCAGGTGCGGTCAGACTCTGTGAGGAAACCCGGCACTCTGCCTGCTAGTGGGCGGTGGGTTGAATTACGATCATGCTCTACATTATGTAAGCACGATAATTGCTTCCATTGGAGGTCGATGCAGCTAATCACTTAGGCATACCCATCGCCTACGATTGTCTATGCTGATTCCACCATACTCCCCATCAGCTGTGAGCCACGACACGCCCACCGCTATCGCTGTAGGTCTCCAGCGGAGCGGCGGCGGCGCGGAGCGACACACCGCCCCCCGGGACCAGCGGATGCGGGTGTTCGTGGCGCTGTTCGACTACGACCCGGTCAACATGTCGCCCAACGTGGACAGCCACCACGACGAGCTGGCCTTCCGAGAGGGCCAGCTCATCAAGGTGGGTGCCGCCAGGTGGGACGTCGTTACGGAGGGCGACTGGAAATGAGCGGTAATGTGCTGCCAATGAATGTTGATCATCAGCCGAGGGCACGTGGAAACGCAGCAATACCGAGACGGTAATTAGGAATTGGAACTAATGAATAACGGCATAATGCACGTAACGTTAATGTGATGATTGTGAATGGTTTGTATGATCTGAGCACGGTACAATGCAAAACATTGAAAGCGTTGTTAAATATTTAAACGTATTCTTATGTCTTCCTAACTGCGTAAAAAGTGCTTTACGATTAAGTACTCCTTAGTTTATTTTCGTTGCACTGAACGTTTCTCCGCCGCTGTTTTTCTCGACAGGTGTACGGTGACAAGGACGCTGACGGCTTCTACTGGGGCGAGGCGTCCGGCCGGGCCGGCTACGTGCCCTGTAACATGGTGACCGAGGTGCAGCTGGGTGAGGAGAGGACCGCCGCCGCGTCCCACGGACACCACCCGACCAGGGACGAGGACGCGTACGGTGAGCAAGAAAGGGAATTACGCTGACATAAACGGTACCGGTAATAGAAAATAATGGTTTTTATCAAGCTAATGGCGTAAGTAGCAAACACGTACGCAAAAAGCTGAAATTAACAATTTAGGCGACTAAATAATGTAGGTAATACTTTCTAAGTCCCAGGTCGGCATTGTGTCGGTTTCATTTCACATCCCGTGATTTTGTGCGCGAGCTTGGAGTATTTCTATAAATGCTAGTCAGCCTTAATTGCACCTAGTCAGTAACGCATTTTCCTTCCCGAACAGGATATCGCCAGTCAGGATCTCGTCCTCCCCGGGTCCCTCCGAGGCAATGGGACGACCGAAGGGAGCAAGGAAGAAACTGGGACGATAGGAGGGACCAGGGAAGAAACTGGGACGATAGGAGAGAACAGGGAAGAAATTGGGACGATCGCAGAGAACAGGGAAGAAACTGGGATGACCGAAGGGACCAAGGACGGAACTGGGACGACCGGAGAGACCAGAGCAGGAGCTGGGATGACCGGAGGGAGGGTGGCCGCCACTACGACGACAGAAGGGAGGCGGGTCGGCACTGGGACGACCGCCGGGAGTCGGCCCATCCCCGCCACTGGGACGAGGGCAGAGGGGGCGGCGAGGCGCGCCACTGGGACGGCCCGCCGTCGGGCGCCGCGGCGGGCCGTCAGCGCAGGTCGTGGGACGACGGAGCGACTCCGTCCGGACCCGTGCGCCGCATGGTGGCGCTCTACGACTACGACCCGCGCCACCTGTCGCCCAATGTGGACGCAGAGGTGAGAAGGGGTGGGGCAGAGGTGAGAGGGGCGGGGCAGAGGTGAGAGGGGCGGGCAGGGGTGAGAGGGGCGGGGCAGGGGTGAGAGGGGCGGGGACCTGTCGCCCAATGTGGACGCAGGGGTGAGAGGGCGGGGCAGGTAACGCTGGATGCTGACACGAGAAGCTTTCGTTCAGAGTTTGATAAGTCTTTTGTCTTTCAGTGAAATAGAACGTATCATCACAATATGATGTCGCTGCGTTCGGGCAGATTGAGCACCTCTGTAAGTAGGCCGTTTGCGCATATCATGCATACCGATTACCGACAGATCATCAGCAGTTAGATAATCGAGCCTTGGGATTTTTGGGCGTCCAAACTGAAAATAATTTGCCGTCAGATGGAGCTGTCGTTTTGCACGGGGGACATCATCCAGGTGTACGGCGACATGGACGACGACGGCTTCTACATCGGCGAGATCGGAGGCGTGCGGGGACTGGTGCCCTCCAATTTCCTCACCGACGCCCCGCCACAGGTGAGCGCGTGGTGTCAGACCATGTGGAACCTTTGGCCTGGTAATCTCGAGAGTCGTGACCCTGTGCTTGTCAGACAAGTCATGAAGCATTGGCATATGAATGTCTTTAAAATTTTCTTGGAATAACTATTTGGGATACAATGCTAGTTTCGAATCTCCAAATTTTTGTGAGGTAATTTTGGTGAATCCGTCGGGTTATGCCGTGACGGGTATAGCTTCAAAACCCGCTGGAAGAATACGAATGTAAGTTGCTCACAGTACTGCGGTTACTGACGTCACGTGACCTCTGCCCTGGCCAGGGTCAGGGTCAGGATCGTCGGGCGGTCTCGGGCGGGGCCTCGCCGGGTCCCGGCCAGCTGGGTCCGCCCCTGCCGCCCAGGCACAGAGGCGACTCCAGGGACCGCCGGAAAGGTGGGTGCATTACGGGCAGTGGGTTTTGTTTTCGATCACTGGGATCGGGCTTACATAACACAGAAATAGTGGCTGGCTCTGAGAAATAGTGTTGCACGTCTGTAACTCAGTAGTTGTAAATGTGGCATTAAGCGTGTCATTTAAGGGTTCGAAAATTAAATCGCATTATAATGCGATTTAATTTTCGAACTTTAGGGCCTAATAGGTAACCATTGTCCAATGTTTGCAAAGTCCATTTATTTTGCATGCGTCATAAGTTCAACGCACAGTTTTAAAGTTAACATCTTGACTAAAAACTGAAGTAAATCTATTTGAAATCCTGGCCCTGCTGGGTATTAGATAAATAACGTTTATCCTACAGTGACTCAATAAGATCGACTTTAAGCTGACCTGTGCGGTGTTGTTCCCCAGATGACGGCAGCTCCGGAGCCAGAGGTCAGGACGCCGACAGTCGCCAGCCACGCCGCTGGTAGTTGACAGGCTCAATGTCCGTTCAACCCTCGCCGTTCTAAGCGACAAGGACTTGTGCGACTACCGTGCTGACGCCGGAGAACGAGCGGCGCACACCGCAGCAGCCCGTGCTGGGTGGGCGTTACTTCAGCGCCAGCTCAGCCGGGCTCTGCGGGACCGGAGGGGGACGAGCGAGGATGACGGTGGTCGGGTGCCGGTCAGTGGTGCTGGGATGGGGGCCAGCAGTGGTGATCACCAGACCCAGCACCAGGGGCAACACTGGTGATACCAGCAGTGGCAGGGTGAGGTTCCGCACTGACGGGAACGAATCAGGCGCCGTCACAACGGTCATCGGATAGGGTGCTAAGGACTGGCGTAGCAAGTAACCATCGAATCCAGAAATGAGTGAAAGTGGTTAGAAGACGCTTGAATGAAACGATGATGTGACGTTGAAGAGTCTGTATATTACAGCGCAGTGCGTGGACGAGTGGAGCTGAATGCATTATAGCGGGTACGGCCACTTTCGATATTGTGCATATTGTTGTCATTTATTGCCTTCTCTTTAATGTTGTCATCTCATCGCCATTTTGTCATTGAGTGCACGGTTCTGTGGCTGGTACGCCATAGCGCGACGTTCGACCGTTTCCCGTTACCGGCCGTTATAGCCGACACTTCTGACCGCTCAGCAGCTCCCCTGTGATCAGCTGTCAGCAGTCAGCGCAGCTCAGCTGTCAGCGCAGCTCAGCACTCAGCATCCTCAGCTGTGGAGCTCAGACGCTGCGCCCGGACCGCGCTATTTCCCCGTCAGGGACAATCGCTCACTCTCAGAGGTGGTCCCTCGCCGGCACTGGGTCCCGATCGGGACACAGTGTCCGCTCCGGCCGCCGCCGCTGGGACAGTACAGGGTACATCTGGGTGTCACTCGCCTCTCGTGTGGCCGGGGAGCTCTCACAGCCCCGGCGCGGGCCATCTTTTCTCTCTCTGGACGCTCGCTCCGACAGAGCGCTCCTGCGGCGGTCAGCGCGCGCTCCGTTTGCCGGTACCGTTCGTGCCAAGCGCCTCTCCCAGCCAGGGGTGCTCTGCGTTCACCGAGGGTGGTTTTGTGATAATGGCTGGTGATGAGCCGGTGCCGCCGCGGCCCTCCGGCCGCCTGCAGCTCCCTGGTGCTCAGTCAGTTTGTTTCTCGACGTGTCAGTCATTTGGGCAGCGTGCGTGGTTGAATGCCCGTCGATATTGTTACTCCTTTATTTGTGTGTAATGCGTCAAAAAATATAATACAATGGTGGGCGAGTTGGATAGTTTACCCTGGCGCTTGTACGCTGTACATTGTATATATACAAGCATTCATGGGAGTTTTTATTTTTACATCTCCCGGATTTCTCTCATGGGGGACGACGCACGGTAGCCGTACGGTAGCCGCATCCTGACGTGCGGCAGCCGCACCGCAGCCGTGCCGCATGAAAAACGCATTCGTGTGGGGCGGCCCTTATGCTGGACCCTGTACAGTGGTCTATATACCTATTGTATCTGTAGATAGTCATCACACAATATTGTAGGAAAGAATCTTTTTTATTAATGGACAACACGAAAGAAACACACCTTATTAACACATTCAATCATCGAAATTAACTTAATGTCATGCTCTGTTTTAAATCAGAACTACCTACCTACCTGCAATTAAATAATACCTACTGGGCATATCTAGCCAAATCGATAACAGCTATAGGTAAACTTCAAGCATGCTCGATTAGAGGGATCCTGCAAGCAAAGGTCCCGATCACAAATACCACCATTTCAAAGATAGCGAGACCACCCGCCGCCACTCTGGCAGCCCCACCTGCAGCGGTATGGTCATCCCCTCCTTCACTGGGATCCTCTTCAGGCCTCGCCGACTCGGGAAAAGAACGGGATATCATGGAAAACTGTCTAGAGTTCGGCGCCGTCACTGCTGCTGCTGCTGCTGCTGCTGCTGCTGCTGCTGCTGTTGTTGTTGTTGCTGCTTCTGATGTCATTGTCGTCGTCGTTCCTGCTGCAGCTGCTGCTGCTGCTGACGTTGTCGACATTTCTGAGGCCGTTGTTGCCTCCACCATGTTGGGATCCGTGGAGGGTACGGGTGCCCGCGGAAGCTTCCGTAACAGCTGTTCGATGGCGTCGTTGTAGTTGTCCTGCAGTGGTAAACGCCTCGGCTTGACCTGCGGGGTGAAAAGGGCCCCACAACGCCCGCCGGCGCTGCGGAAGCCAAGCGCGCAGGCTGGATTTACAACCGCCTTCGTTATGACGATGCCGTCTGACAACTTTTGTCCAGATACTCGTAACTGTAAGTTTTTGGGAAAGCCGAGGTGAAACAGCGCCATCAGAACGCAGATCAGCACGGGCAGACAATAGCAGCGAGACATATCAGCTGGAAAAATGCTTATCCGCAAGACGAAAAAGTCACTCCAAAATGTACTTCTATGGCGGCAGAGCCGACTGGAACTCCTTGAGCGCTGGCGGTGCTCTTGTTGCCGGCAAATGTCCTGTGAGTCCGATCGCAAGTCACAACCGAAGTCTATCAGATTTCGCTGACTTCGTCTGAACCTTTCCTATCTTCACCTCATGTTGCTCTTGCGGACAAGACGCCCGGGGTTTTCAAGTGAGCTGCAGTTTACCACGTCTCGAGTTGCTCGACTTGGCGGAACAGACGACTCACACCTTCTGAAACCGCTCGGCAACAGTGTCTCTTCTACCATCCGCGCCGGAATATGAACTATCGCACAGCCCGCCACCGCCTACACTGTCCAGTGTCCAGTCCTTCTCTGACTGAAGTCTGCACTACCCGGCAATGTGCAATCGAGAGCGGATGTCCGTGTCATTGTGCACACGGTCATGTCTCATGCTTGCGGTACGCAGTAAAACTTTGCAGCGATAAGTAGGGGAGGATGGGGCAACTTGGGCGCTCTTTTTAGAAGGCGTTGTACCTCAAAATTGGCGACATATTTCTGCACTCTCTCAATTCTGGCAGCCGGCAGGTGTCGCATTCATTCTACTTTCCCGTACAGTAAATTGAAAATGACAAAGTAACTACTAGTACTTATACCTAAATTTTGGCGTTTTACAAAGGTCTGCAAAGCGGCCAAATTGCCCTGCTAGCAGGGTTATTTGGCCGGCGATGTGGGGCAATTTGGCCGGTGGGGCATTCCACGATAGATCGTACCAGGCCCGTCACCCTCATCTCTCAGATTTTAATGAAAATCGGTCCTAGAGGTAATCATAGGCCCCAAAGACGCCTGGCAAAATATCAGACTTCTCAGATCAAAACTTTTTGAGTTATATTGCATTACATTTTTTTAACTTCGGTATGTAACGGTGAGTTTGTTGGCCTATTACTCAAGAACGGGTTAAGCAACCAACAAAAAGTAAACAACACTAAGCTTGCGATGAATCAAAAATTAATATTACTATTTAAAAATTCCAAAGAAAAAATTTCATTGTTGAGCAAAAACCTTAAGCTTTTTTCATTTGCCTCTAATGACTTTTGGGACCAAAATTTTTACATTTTTATTTTTCAAAATAATCTTCATGTCATTGCAAACCGACATGCAAAAAATTAGAAAGGTGTTCTTTCTATAAGTTCCTCATTTTCCCGCAAACAAAATGGGTTTCGGAGGGGTTGATACGACCCCAGCACGCCGTTTCGCTTCTAATAGAGCTAGAGCCTCGCGGAAAAAACGAGCGTGTGTGCCGTTACAAGTCGCAGCGATTGGTACCCGATTTTAAGGTCTCAGGTTAACCGGTAGCGTCTGAGGTCAGGTCACGTGACTGAAGTTACAAGTTCGTTTTTTAGTAAATAACTTCGCAAAAAAATGGCCGCAGAGCCGTGATTTTGGCATCATTGTGTTCGCCTAGCTCAGGTGCATCGAATGGTATACTTTTTGCTAGGGTGAGGTCAACTTAAGTAGTTGACCTCGGGTCAAGGTCAGGTCAGAGCCCCTCAGGTCACGAAGCTGGGCAAAGGGTATCATATGGCATATCATTCGATTCGGAAGGTCTTCCCGAGTCCATTGGTGGCTTTCCCGACTCTCTAGCTCTATTTGATCGGGAGTTATTGACGAAAAACTCGTACGACCCTAGTGACGTCATAAATGACGTCACGCAAGGTTAACAATGCAAAAGTAAAGCATTGGACTTTGCAAGAAGTGCATGAAATCACGATACCATGTACGTGGGATAGTTTTAGATCATTCTCGGCGCCAAAATAACAGTTTTTATATTTCCCCATTGATTTATAACAGTGATGTCACGTGACCGACCTGACCTCATGTAACCTTGAAAAATTCCCAGATATACAAGTTGTGAGACCTCTGGAGGACACCATGTATGTGTCCTGTAACTTTCATCTCGGACAGCTATGGTCATTGGCGTCCAAAACAACGTCAGAACCAAACAGCCTTTTTCGCCCTCGCGCTTATAGGAAAGAGGGTTGAATGAACCCTCTTTTCACTTTTTTCAGATGACTCAGACTTGAATTGAAATTTCGGTAACCCGTGATGTCACTAGGCAGCTTTACCACGCCATTTGTAAGCTCCCCTCCCTAAATCACTATTCGAAACCGTTATCGTGACGTAAAATAAATACATTTATAGAAAGAACACCTTCCTAATTTTTTGCATACTTCTTAACAATGTGCCAAATATTTTTTTAAAGAAATAAAAATTCAAAAAAATTTGGTCCCAAAGTTCAAAAAATACAAATGAAAGAAAACTCGATATGTCATATCTCAAAAATAGCGTATTTTTCGAAATTTCAAAAATACATATTAATCTCTGTTTCATTGCAAGTTCAATGTTACATAACATTTGGCATTTGAATAATCCGTCTTAGAGTTACAGCCCGCCAAACTTAGCGCTACAAAGCAAGATCCAAAAAAGGTTATACACCATAACTAAAAAAATACTTATCTGATAAGCCTGAAATTGTTACAGGTGGATTCAGAGCCCCTGATTACCCCTGAGACCAATTCTCGTCAAATTCCGAGAGATGAGGGTGTCAAATTGGAAAAAAGCGGTACGATCTATCGTGGAATGCCCCCGGTGTCAATTTGAGGCCTTGATTTTATGTTACCTACCTATGTACAGGCGAGTCAGCTTCAGCGTCCATGCAATGACATGTGTCCTATACGCATTTTTTAAGGTGACTCGGTGTCGGACTTGTACCTATACTAATGGCTTTTTTAACTCAGGGTTCGTCGGTGATTTTAACATTCTGCACATTCACCTTTGCACAAGTTGCTTAGGTAATGAAACATTCGCATTAATTTGTCATACAAATATTTTCACAAAGTAACTAATGATTATTGAGGGCCGAGGGGCATTGGTTGGAAAAAAACTTATAGTCACCGTGGAAAAAAATGTTAATTTTTTTCATTTTAACCCTATTAGTGGCAGGGGGGGGGGGTTGTTTTTATCCACCCCTCAGGTTTTTCGGGAATATCTCCGAAACCGCTGAAGCTACGATGCTGAAATTTTCTGACTTTTCCTAAAACTAAATTGGGCACATTCCCTGAAAATTTCAAGTTTATAGCTTTACCAGGGGCGGCTCCAGAGCACTGGGAATTTGGGGGTCCTATTCGTGAAGCGAGTCATTTGGGCGAAGATCACGATGCTGCACCAGTTTTACGAACAGTGAATGAAAGGTATCATGTGATGACATATACAAAGTTATTGTGCATCCTCTTTTGACACGTTTTTGCTATAATAGGCGGATCCAGGCGTCCAAAAAGGGGGGTTATTTTTTACCTCCCAACATAGGTGCCCTGACACCGCCTATGCATGACCAATACAATTTTAGTCGTTCTCTCATAAGAAAATTGTAACATAACAAGACCATTGCCACCCTTTTTAGAAACAGTACCAACAAAAACCTTATTTACTATACTTTTTGTGTACCCCCAATCTCAATGATCTGTATCCGCCTATGATTTTTGAAAATGCATATTTTTAGGATCCATGTGAATTCCTGGTTCATTCTCTATCGATCGGCAAAAGTTGCGTTAAGATTGGTTCAGAAACCTGGCCGTGATAAACAGTCTAAAATGTATCTGCAATTTGCCCGTTTTTACCCCCTCTACCCCCCTATTGACATTTTTTAATTTTTTATTTTTTAGAAATGTAGATCTCGTTGAGCCAAATCGAATGCCGTTTGAATTTTGAAAATCGGCCAGTTAGATCTCGAGATATCAAGGGGGGGTCGTAAACAGCCCCCCCCCCCCTGCCACTAATATGGGGTAGCCAGGAGCCTGCCACTAA